CAGAATGGGCATGGTGGCTTATACCTGTAATCCCAGCACTTTGGGAGGCTGAGGTGAGCAAACACCTGAGATCAGGAGTTCAAGACCAGCCTGGCCAAAATGGTGAAATCCTGTCTCTACTAAAACAAAAACAAAACCAAAAAAACCTGGATGTGGTGGTGGGAGCCTGCGATCCCAGTTACTTGGGAGGCTGCGGCAGGAGAATCACCTGACTTCGGGAAGTGGCCATGTCAGTGAGCCGAGATTGCACCACTGCATTCCAGTCTGGGCGACAGAGCAAGACTCCATCTAAAAAAAATAGAGGGCTAGATACAGGAACGCTTCCATGGCCTTGAGCCAGTTTTCCCTTTGTTTGAAGCCAGTCAGGGATGGACCGCCCTAGAATGATTGTCGGCACAGGTCTGTTCAGTTCCACGTGCGTTAGGGCCCTGTGTCAGAGCACTCAGAGATGGGTCTACAGATGAGATGATGTAAGAGAAGTCCCATGAAGACAGGTATAACTAGAGGGCAATGCTGGGTCAGTGGAAGGACAGGTCTCACCCATTGGAGGGATCAGAAGAGACTCCGTGGAGGAAGTGGTGTTTGAGAGGAGCATAGCAGGGTGATCTAAGTTCATTAGGCTGACATGGAAAGGGAGATGAGAGGCAGGCCAGTGAGGAGCTGGATCAATGGGCCCTGCAGGTGGGCCTTGGGAGCAGGTCAGTGAGCAGGGCTAGGGAAGGGCTAGGGAGCAGCAGGAGAGGAGGTGGGACTGGATTTCTGGAGGAGAGGATGAGTGAGGGCCAGGCTTCTGGGGGTGCTGAGCGGGACAGTGAAGAAAGAGAAGCTTCTGGACGGCCTGAGGCATGGGGTGCTGGGCTGCAGGCCCACTGCAGGGAGAATGTCGGAGAACCCCAAGGGTGAGGGCTCAGAAGAGTGTCTGTTTCTGCAGTACCTATGGGAGTGGGGGCAGTGTGGGGAACTCAGGGAAGCTGCCCACAACTTGGTGTGGAGCCAGCTAGGGGCTGGGAGCAGAAATTTGGGTGCGTGGTGGATGGGCCCTCCCAGTGGGGCCTTTCAGTCGCCCCAGGGCCTTATGACCGTGTTGGCTGCTGTGTAGAGGCTTTCCCCCAGGCTGGAGGAGGAGAGGGACAGGGAAGGCCAAGAGGAGCTGTCCTCCGGCTGCCATCCCCTGATGAGGGTGGAGAGGGTTCCTTGGTGGAGACATTCACCCTCTCTCTTCTTCCTCCTTCTCCTAGTCCTCTTTGGCATGAGACAGACGAATTGAATCCTAGTTCTTCATTTCACTAGCTGTGTAGACTTGGTTATATGACATTGCATCTCAGTTCTCATTTCTGTGAAATGGGAAGAAGAATTACATCTTCCTTGCAAAAAATTATGAGGATCAAAATAAATTAATCCATGCCACTTGGCAGCACAGTGCTGGGCACATGGACAATGTGAGTGACTCATAGCAGGTCTGACGATTGTTATTCTTCTGGAATACCCCATCCTCCCCATTTCCTCAGATCCTCCCCGCTCACCTCCAGCTGGGCGGTGTCTGACCCTCCGCTTTTCCCTTGTGGCTGCCACCCGGAGACTCCGTTTTTGCCCAGGTAAATAGCCCCTCCGATGCTCCTAGCAGCCTTGCCCCAGCCTGTGGCCTCCGCAGGGGCTGGCAGCCTTGCTCTCGTCCAGCTTGCTCCGTGGCTGCGCCTGCCATCTGGTAGGCAGGAGGGAGCCAGGCCTGTGTGTGGGGCCAGCCAGAGCAACAGACCCATAGTGCCCATCCCGCCTGTGTGTTAGGAAAAGGTGGGGGTGACTATTGTGATGCCAGTGAGGCCCCCAAGTTGCCTCTTCTGTTTCTAAAGGCCCAAGGCCTACTTTTTGTCCGACCGCCACCCCCCACACACGCACTCACACCCACTCACTCTTGAGCCCTCTTCCACTGTTTCACAGCCTGCCCACACTCCTTCCCGGCAAAGCCCCTTGCAAACGCTTGCTTTGGGGACTGGCAGCTTTCGCCTCTGAATCAGGACCTGTGACTGTTACTTAGAAATTGTGCGGGAGTTGAGGAGGCTTCTGTGAGGCTGAGATGATAATTGCGCTATTTAAAGACGGCCCCGGAGCCAGAGGAGCCGGAATGAGCCAGGTGCCCTATGTGGCTGTCCTAGGGCTCCCTTCTGCTCACTGTGCCCCTGCAGCCGACAGGACAGGGGCAGGAGGTCCTGGACAGTCATTTCCTGGCAGTCCTCTCTGGGCTTATCTTCAGACCAGCTCTACATGATGCCATTTGGACAGGGGAAGTGGAGTTGCTCCCTGGCACCTGGTTTAGAGAGAGGCCAGAGAAGGGCTAGTGAGGAGAGAAGCCACCAAAGCCGGCTTCTCACTTGCTAAAATGACCAGGAGGATTTGGGAGCCAGGTTGGACCAGATAGCCAGTACCTCACAGTGGGCAGCCTGCGGTCCTGCTCTTCCTTCCTGAGAACTTCTCCAGCCCCTTTCCTGTAAGAAGCTTTAAGCACTTCACCCACAGCGGGCCAACACTAAGGTAATTCACACTCCCATGCAATCACGGGGTGCTTTCTGCTCCTCATTTATTGCCCATCCAAGATCTCATCCCCCTAAGGTAGGCAAAACCAGGGTTGTGGGTTTCCTCTTATAGCCGAGGCCTCAGTAACTGGTAACAAGCCTGACGTCGCCCTGCTGGTCTGTGGCAGGACTGTACCCCTGTCTCCTGAGTCCCTGCTCTGGGCTGCTTCTTTTGTGCTACACTGCAGGCTGCCTGGGAATCTGGTGGGCTGGGGCCACTGCTGGGGTACCCGAGCTCCTTCCTGGCACACTACAGTCTTCTCCAAAGTTAGCCTCTGCCACAAGGGGTCCCTTCCCAAGCCTAGTCTTTTCTTTTGGCATCTTGGTGTATGTGGAGGGGTGGGGGAAGATGGGGAGGGGGGCCTGGATGTTGATGAGCTTGGGGAGGTAGGCTGGGGCCATATGGCCATTCAGCCTCAGGGCTGGAGCATTCAGGTTGGAGGGGCCTGGGCCTGGTGGGTGGGAAAATGGGAGGAGCGGCGGTTATCAGCATCAGGGAGATGGCAGCTTTGGCAAACTGGGCAGCAGCCCCTTCTCTCCACTCCCAGCTGCTCTGAGGGGCAGGGAGGTGCGAGTAGGCTGCCCTGACAGCAGCAATGTTGCAGAAAGGAGGAGGCCGACCAAGCTTCAACTTTTTACTTCTGTAGTCTTCTGGGACCCTACCCTCCATGGTGGCTGTCTGGCTTGGGGAAGGATCCCCTTGACCAGAGTTTGTGTCCGGTTTCTATGCATGGGAGTGTGTATGTGGCCACGTGGGTATCTGTTCTAGGCCTCTGTGTTTCTGTCTCTGTGCATGTGTGTGCACTTGTGTGTGTGTGCATGCATGTGTGTGCATGTGTGTGTGTGTGTGTGCATGTGTGTGCATGCCCACGTGCCTGCTTGTACTACTACGCCCCTCTGGGAAGGGCTAGGAGTGTGAGCTCTGAATTTTCAAGCTGGTGCACTAACTTTCCTCTGATCTCGACCCCACGTTGCTCCCCAGTCTCCCTCTTCCTTTCCCCTATTTCTGCCTAGAGCATCAGTACTCTGGGGAGGGGTCCAGGTAGGAGAGGCCTGGCTCTTCTGTGTTTCCCCTGCAGGGTTCAGTCCTGCCACAGGCCTGTGCAGTGTCTGACCTCTCACCTCACACTGGGTCCTGATGCCTCTTGCCCACCCTGACCCTCCTAGTCTGCCTGTTATTCTCACCCTGAGGGTGGACAGAAGGCTTTCCCTATGTCTCCCACAAGATAAGAGAGAGGAAGGAGGAAAAGCATCATTTATGGAACACCTCCAGTGTGCCCATCGCTGTGCTGGGGGCTTCATACCCTTTCTCTGCTGCAACTGGGGCCTCTGAAGACAGTCCTCTCTGAAAAATGACTAAGGTGGTACCTTTCTAATGTGGACAGGGAGGTTGGAATCTGATTAGAGGCAGAGAAATCCCCAGCTGCAGCGGCCTTTCTCATTACTCTGGCGTTACTTCATCGCTGGCTTCCTTTGCTCTGACCACTGGGCTCCTGTGCCATGCTCAAGGCATCAGCAGAGCCAGGCTGTGCACATGCTAACTGACCTTGGTGGTGACTTCTACAGTGTCAGCAATGGGTAATGGTGCTGAGAGGGCAGATTCGCAGCCATGATAGGGGCCGCACTGTAGCCCCACCCCAGGAAGGGCATACCCCACTCCCACATCACCCCGGCGTTCCTTTCCATCATTTAGTCCCCGCTCCGATGCAAAGGTGGGAGGCTGTGAACTCAAAGTCCAAGCCTGCTGTCTGCCAGGCCTGTGTGCTGTCCTCCTTGGCAGGGTTTGGAAGTGGGGAATGACTTGAGTCAGAGCCTCCTCCCTGAATCATGGGCAGTGGTAGCAGGTCAGGGCTCTCTGCCTGCTCCAGTACCCAGTCTGTGCCTCTCCAAACCCTTAGCCAGGGCAGGAGCTACTCTGTCCCTGTTTCCTATGACCCCAAGAGTCCAGCCTTTAGGACTCACACCCACTCCCACTAAGCATTCTTTATAATCATCTGCACTTGCGTTGGTTGGCTTAAGTGATGGGGAAAAGGCCAGGGGTGGCACAGAGACCCTGTTTCCTCCCCTCCCACCCCCAGGTCTCAGGAGGACTCTGGGCATCTTGCCGGCTGCTCCCCTGCCGCTGACTGAATCATTTCTATATTTGGCCAGTGAGCCACGTGGGTAGGGGAACCACTGCCACTGTGGCTGCACTTCTGACAGCTGTGGGGGGCAGGGGGAGGCAGAGGCTAGGCAGTAGGCATGTGCATTCCTTAGGAGAACTAAGGAGGCGCCATCAGAGTGAGTAAGCCTGGAGCAGGGGCATGCGCCAGCCAGCACCTCCCTCTTTCCCCCAACACCCTAGTTCAGGTCCTGTCTCCTCTGCTCCGCCGCCTCCCCTGATGCCCTTCACCACTCAGCTGGTACTCACAGCAGTCTCTTTTCCCACAGACACACTGCCCTCCAGAAACGATGGGTGTCGCTAGACCCAGCTGGGACTCTGCCAGGCTCCGGTGCTCAGTCTAAGAGAAGGGCTATCTTCCAGCCCTGCTCTCCCTGCCTGTCATGGCCACATTCGGCTGCTGTCTGCTTGTCTGGGGACAGAGGGCACCCAGCCCCAGCCCTGAGAAGTTAAGCCAGTCCTTCTGGCTCAGTTCCACAGGGGCACTCCAGGCCCCAGGCCCCTTTCAGAGCAAAAGCAACTGATGCCATGGGAGAAGCCCCTGCCCACCTGTCCACTCGCCTGGCACTGCCCACTCTGAGACCCATGCACTGGGTTCCCCTGGAGGTGCCAACCCTGTGAGTCCCTCCCTGTCCCCTGACGCTGAGAAGGCCCTGCCCACCCCCACCATGTGTGAGGTGATGCCCACAATCAACGAGGGGGACCCCCTGGGGCCCCCCCATGGCGCCGATGCTGACGCCAACTTCGAGCAGCTGATGGTGAACATGCTGGATGAGCGGGAGAAGTTGCTGGAGTCTCTTCGGGAGAGTCAGGAGACTTTGGCAGCCACACAGAGCCGGCTCCAGGATGCCCTGCATGAGAGGGACCAGCTCCAGCGCCACCTTAACTCTGCCCTCCCCCAGGTAAGGCCCAAAGGCCTGCGTCACTCTTAACCCCTTTCTCTCCCCTAGCCCTGCTAGATCCACTGAGCCCTCATCTCATCTGCATCTGTTTGCCTATCAATAATTGGAATTCACCGAGAATTTACTCTCCTTAATCTCTCTACTTGAATTCTTTCCCTGTTACTCCCAAGCTCTTCAGTTTGGAATTGGTTTCCCGTGGAGAAATGGATGGAATTTGATGGGGGTAGGAAAACGCAACATTAGGTACCAGCTGCAGTGGGCGCAGATGGCCAGTAGGTGGCACCCCAGACTGGAAAGAAACCACCTCCCTGCCTGCTCCTCTCCAGTGCCCTATCCTTGGAGGTGGCAGGTGGGAAATCACAGGCAGTAGAGACGGGAGAAGACTTAGTGATCGTCTCGTCCAGCTCCAGTATTGCACAGTGAGAAAAGCGAGAGGTATCACATGGAAGATGATAGGCAGGGCTGAGTCTAGAAGTCAGATATCTTGACATCCCGACATTCTGTCTTGTGCTCCTCATCAGCACAACCACCAGCTGTCCTGTAGTCTCATGTACTGTGTCCTTTCTATGGCACTTTGTAAGGATTCGCTCACTAAATTCTTTTTTTTTTTTTTTTTTTTTTTTGAGACAGAGTTTCCCTCTTGTTACCCAGGCTGGAGTGCAATGGCACGATCTCGGCTTACCGCAACCTCCGCCTCCTGGGTTCAGGCAATTCTCCTGCCTCAGCCTCCTCAGTAGCTGGGATTACAGGCACCCACCACCATGCCCAGCTAATTTTTTGTATTTTTAGTAGAGACGGGGTTTCACCATGTTGACCAGGATGGTCTCGATCTCTTGACGTCGTGATCCACGCGCCTCGGCCTCCCAAAGTGCTGGGATTACAGGCTTGAGCCACCGCGCCTGGCTCTCTCACTAAATTCTTATGACTCTGAAGTTGGAGCTATTACCACCATCATCCCATTGTACAAATCACAGAACTAAAGCTGGCGGAGATGAGTAAGTTGCTCCTGGCCATCCAGGTGGTATGTGGTGGAGGCAGGAGCTGAGCCTGGGGCTAAGTGCCTGTAGAGGCCAAGTTTCTCAGCACTGCACCTATTTCTCCCTCACTGCATTGGCCCTGAGCTTCCTGATGGTGCCTACTTACCACTCACTTGGTAGATACCCTAGGCAAGGTGCATGCTCTGGGGATGCAGGAGGGAGCAGGAGCCTGGGTAATTTGGTTCTTGGACTGTTTTGCTGTTGCTTGTCAAAGAAGCTCCGGCTGGGCGTGGTGGCTCATGCCTGTAATCCAAGCACTTTGGAGGCCAAGGCAGGTGGATCACCTGAGGTCAGGAGTTCAAGAGTAGCCTGACCAACATGGTGAAACCCTGTCTTAAAAAAAAAAAAAAAAAAATAGGCCGGGCACGGTGGCTCAAGCCTGTAATCCCAGCACTTTGGGAGGCTGAGGCGGGTGGATTACGAGGTCAAGAGATCGAGACCATCCTGGTCAACATGGTGAAACCCCGTCTCTACTAAAAATACAAAAAAAAATTAGCTGGGCATGGTGGCATGTGCCTGTAATCCCAGCTACTGAGGAGGCTGAGGCAGGAGAATTGCCTGAACCCAGGAGGCGGAGGTTGCGGTGAGCCGAGATCGCGCCATTGCACTCCAGCCTGGGTAACAAGAGTGAAACTCTGTCTCAAAAAAAAAAAAAAAAAAATAATAATAATAATAATAAATAAATAAAAATAAATAATTCGAAAACAAAACAAAACAAACAAACAAACAAGCTATGAATTCGGCCTGGTAACCTGGCCCAGAGAGGGCAGCAGGTTGTGTGTCTGTGAGACAGTGCTCACAGTGATGGAGGGAACATCCTGCCCTCTCCGCCCCCCCGTATGAGCGGAGAGATGGGTATTGAAAGCCAGTTCTAGACACATGGCATAGCCCACCCTGACCCAGTGAGGGTGCTACTGGGGTTGGGGAGGCAGCTCTGAGAAGCCAAACAGCTCAAGCCTCAGCGCCAGGCCCTTCCCAGGTGTGGGGAGGAGAACCAGGGCTGGGTCTGGGTGGGTGAGTTTCCGAAGCAGAAGTGATGCTTGGTGGACGAGAATATGGAGCCCTGGAAAAGCAGCCGGGTGGGGAGGTGGGGCCCTCTTCTTTCACTTCGCATGGGGCTCTAAACTTGCCCTAGAGTGAATGAGCTAGTTCCTGACCCCAGGGAGCTCACAGACTAGGAAGGAGACACACAACCCATGTGACCGGAGAGAATGCAGAGGAAGATAAGAGAGGCCCAAAAGGGTTATTAAGCACAGTATCAGTGATAAAAATAGCTGCCATTGATGGCTTGGGCTAAGTGCTTTCTATACACTGGCTCGTTTAATTCTCATATGAACACCTGGAGGGAGGACTGTTGCCTCTGTCTTACAGATCAGAGAATGAGGCTCAGAGAGGTCGGGTAACTTGTTCAAGGTCATACAGCTAACAGGGGCAGAGCTGAGATTTGATCCCAAGCCTACTCGACTTCCCACGCTGAAGTTTCATGAGGGCAGGGGTTGTGTCTTTCTTGTCACTATGTCCCCAGTGACCCGCACAGGACCTGGTACATGATAGGTGCTCACACATATTTGTGGTTGAATGATGGACTCCCAAGTTGGTGTTCTTGACCACTGCTCCAAATGGCTTTCAGGAGAGGGAGAGCCTCCCACTGGGGAGCCTGGAAAGCTCCCAGCAAGGCTGTATCCTTTGAGATGGGCTTTGAAGAATGGTTATGATTTCATCGGGTGGTGATAGAGGTTTTTCAGGGGGAGGGAGTCCACTGAGCCAAGATGTGGTGTTAGGAGGGCATGCTGGTGTTTAGGAACAGCAGGTGATCCAGGTTGACTGGGTCTTAGGGGATATGGAAATGACACGAGAGAGAAGTTTGAAAACCAGGTAAAAAGTTTGTATTTGTAGGCTGGGTGCAGTGCCTCACTCCTGTAATCCTAGCACTTTGGGAGGCTCTCAGGAGTTCAAGACCAGCCTGGGCAATGTGGCAAAACATCATCTCTACAAAAAATCCAAAAATCAGCTGGGGATGGTGGCAAATGCCTGTGGTCCCAGCTACTCGGGAGGCTGAGGTGGAGGGTCACCTGAGCCCAGGAGGTCCAGGCTGCAGTGAGTTGAAATTGAGCCACTGTACTCCAGCCTGTGTGACAGAGGAGACCCTTTCTCCTGTATTTGTAGACAGCATTGTGGTTTGGGAGATTTGTAGACAGTCGTGTGTCAGATAAGCTAGAGGTGGGGAGGGAGGGGACAGGTATCCTGTGAGTGGGGAGATAAGACAGCTGCTGAGCTTGAGGCCAGGAGAGGGTGCAGCACCAGCCTTTTGGTGACGGCATCATGGTGTAGGGCTGGGTGGCAAGCTGTCAAGTCCTGTCTCTGGGTACAAGCATGTGTACATGAGTGCGTATTCCTGTGAAAGTGTGATTGTGTGCGTGCATAAGCTCGGGGACGATGCAGCATCAGGCCTGGGCTTCTGGAGTATGAGATGCTTGACCTTGACCACCTTTGGCCATGGCCCTGATAGAAAGGCAGTAATAAGTAATAACGTCAGAGGTGCATGATTTCTCTTGCTCTGGCATCTCTTGTCCCTTGTTCCCTCCCACAACCCCCTAGCCCCTTTTGCCCTATCTGGAGTGATGAGAGGGGTTTGGGAGTTCTTCCTTTGGTCATGAATTCTTGGTGTGTGAGGGGGGCTGCAGGTTAGGACAGGGGTGAGGCCTTTGGCGTCACTCTCAGGACTCGGATATCCACAGAGTTTGGGCCACTCATATGAAAACCTCCCTGGAAGGAGATGATGTTTGGTTACACAGGTTATGATGAGCCTGGAATGTGGGAGCAGCCTCTCGCCCCTGTATGCTTGTCCTGATGGAGGAGGGTGGGCTGGCAAGGTCTCTGAAGGCATCTGGGCCTGACAGTGTGGAAATGGATCCCTCTAGAAGTAATACTTGGCATGTGGTTATTTGATAAAGCCAGGGCAAGTGCCTCTGCATCAGGAGCTGAGACACAGCCCTCGCCTGGTTGAACCGGGCTCCTAGGAAGCCTGACTCAGGTCCGCAGGCCCTCTTCCTCCTGTTTAGGTCCTTGGATCCGCTTATTTTATCCACTACTTGCAATTTGCAAAGCCCTGGGATGGGGCTGGAGGAGCTCCCTGAAGTGCTCATGCAGACATTGTCTTCAAAACCTCTTTCTCTTCCCCCTTTTATTTTATTTGATTTTTTTAGTTTTTTTGGGATGGAGTCTTGCCCTGTTGCCCGGCTGGAGTGCAGTGGTGCGATCTCGGCTCACTGTAACCTCCGTTTCCCAGGATTCAAGTGATTCTCCTGCCTTAGCCTCCGGAGTAGCTGGGATTACAGGTGCACCACCATGCCCAGCTAATTTGTGTATTTGCAGTAGAGATGGGGTTTCATCATGTTGGCCAGGCTGGTCTCCATCTCCTGACCTCAGGTGATCCACCGGCTTCAGCCTCCCAAAATGCTGGAATTCAGGCGTGAGCCACCGCAGCAGCCTTCTCGTCCCTCGTTGACATACATCAGTTTCTGTTTGGACCTTATTCTGCCAAACCAGACGCAGAACTCTCCTCCATCAGTTTCTAGAGGAAAATGTCATTCAATTCCTGGAGAAATGGAAATGCCAAGTGGGAGGGAGGACATCATCTGGTCATACTGGAGGCTGGATGGGGAAGGGCCTGCAGAGCAGACTCAGTGACTGTCTCACTCCTGTGTACAACTCTGTTCCCTTGGATTCTAACACATGGAATGCATGGTGGGCCCAGAGATGTGGCCCCCTCTGGAGAAACACATGCTAGCTGTGGGTTTACTGACCTGCAGTGCGGAGGGACTGGGATCTAGTCGGGGAGGTAACGGAAGTAAGGGATGGGTGAGAGGATCCCACCACTGACTTGTGCCTGCAGAACACTGCTTTGGGGGTGAATCCTCAAGCACTGAGGGGCCTTGGGGGGGTTTTCAGGAATTTGCCACCTTAACTCGGGAGCTGAGCATGTGTCGGGAGCAGCTTCTAGAGCGGGAGGAAGAGATATCAGAGCTGAAAGCAGAAAGGAATAACACACGGGTAAGTGGGGATGACCTAGTGTATGTGTGTGTGTGTGTGTGTGTGTGTGTGTGTGTGTGTGTGAGTGTGAGTGTGTATGGGGATGTGCTGTGAACACCTTGACTGAGAGAGCAGGCAAGAGTGGGGCCAGGCACAGCCCTAGCTCAAGCATCATCCTTCCCTCTTCCTGTCTCCCATCCTGGGGTGCTGGCCACATCGTTTAACCACCAGTGCTGGGCTCTCCACCTGCAGTTGCTGGTTCACAGAAAGCTCAGGGTCCTGGGGAGAGGCCGGGCAGCTGGCTTGTGTAGTATCGGTTGGGGCAGCAGCTCTGTGCCAGTTCGGAAGTATTTCTGTGTTTTAACAGTGGCATGGCTGTACTCTTGTCTGCTCGGGGATCACGTGGGCCCTGCTTGTAGCCCTTGGGGCACATGCTTACAGCCCTCCCTCTCGCCCTCCCCTGCTCCCTGCTAGCTGCTTCTGGAACATCTGGAGTGCCTGGTGTCCCGCCATGAACGGTCACTGCGGATGACTGTGGTAAAGCGCCAGGCCCAGTCACCTTCGGGGGTCTCCAGCGAGGTGGAGGTGCTGAAGGCCCTCAAGTCACTGTTTGAGCACCACAAGGCCTTGGATGAGAAGGTGCCCATCTGCCCGCCAGTCCCCCGCCCCTCCAGCTAGCCTGCCTGGAGCCTCCCATGTATCCCTTCTCTGAGATTTCTGTCTCCGGTATTTAGGAAACCCTGGCTCCCTTCAACCCCTGTCTGCACTGCAAGTCCTCCTGTTAGGCTCCCTCCTGCAAATGCGCTTCTTAGCAGGCCCTTCACTGCCCTCAAGCTCGGTAGACGAAGCCCAGACTCTTCCAGCCTGACTCAAGTGGGGTCCCCCTTTCTTCCTCCATCTCCCGTTACCTTGAGCAGGTGCGAGAGCGGCTCCGGGCAGCGCTGGAGCGAGTCACCACCTTGGAGGAGCAGCTGGCAGGTGCCCACCAGCAGGTAAGCTGACTGCTCACTCTCCATCTGCAGTCCCTGGAAGTCCAGGCTGGTTCACGCCTGTGCCCTACTCTATTTCTCATCGGATTTCTTCCTGCTGCGGCTGGAGGCTGCTGGGCAAGGCTAGGCTGAGCACCTCTTTCTAGGAGACACCTGTTTAACCAAGGCAGGGGCTTGGGAAGGGTCTGAAATGTATGGGAGGTTCTCCCCTCTTTGACTTATCGCCCTGGGGCGTGTGCCTGTAGGTGTCGGCCCTGCAGCAGGGGGCAGGGGTCCGTGATGGAGCAGCAGATGAGGAAGGGACCATGGAGCTGGGGCCGAAGCGCCTGTGGAAGGTAGGTCATGGGAGCTGTTTAGCAGGGGTCTGTGTTCCCCAGGATGGGAGGCTGGAGGCTCACTAACTGCTTGAGTTAAATCTGGGGCTTTCTCCAATATTCCCACTTATCTTTTCTTCTTCTCCCTACTTCATCTGCAAAGAAATCTGTAGATTTTTATTTTAGTGCCCAACACATGCTGGGCACATCGTATGCTTGTCTACTTGAATTGTTAGGTGCCCTCTGCCTTGCGTAGCAGCATCAGGCAAGATTCCTTCTCTCTCTGAGCCTCTGCTCCCCAGTCATGCCCCTTTCTGGGTTACAAGAGGCTGGCATAGCAGATAAAACTAGAAACTTGTTTTTCAGGAGAGACACAGGATAGCAAAGTGTTTCGGTCATTGTCAGGAGACCTCCGGGGGCGCAGAGGGAGGAAACTGTAGCTGGAGAAGCGCTGTGATGTTGGGGGCACAGTGGGGAGCTGCTCTGGGCGTGCCGTTCCTCCTCCTACCCCCTGGGATAGGGCAGTGGGGTGGCTGGGATGCTCCTGTGACTCACAGAGCTCACTGTCCTTGGAGGAGGATGCTGGCCGGGTAGAGGAGCTGCAGGAGCTCCTAGAGAAGCAGAACTTTGAGTTGAGCCAGGCCCGGGAGCGACTGGTCACCCTGACAGCAGCTGTGACGGAACTTGAGGAGGACCTGGGCACGGCCCGCCGGGACCTCATCAAGTCAGAGGAGCTGAGCAGCAAGCACCGGCGGGACCTCCGGGAGGTGCGTGAGGCTGCAGGCCCTCACTGTGGAGGGCGCGGAGGGAGGGCCGGCAAGGGCCTGGGGGCGTGAGGCTGAATACCTGCCTGCCTGCCTGGGTCCCGTGTGTGGGGCAGTCATGGAAGGGTGGGCCAAGGCCAGAAACGGACAGGGGAGTGTAGCTCATGCCCCTTAATGGGTTCCCGTCAGCCAGGTGTGGGTGGGGAGGCGGAGATAGGATGGGGGCAGGGGAAGGCTGCTGACCGCTCCCCTCGTCCCCTCTTCTCCCAGGCTCTGGCCCAGAAGGAGGACATGGAAGAGCGGATTACTACACTGGAGAAGCGCTACCTGGCTGCTCAGCGTGAGGCCACATCCATCCATGACCTCAATGACAGACTGGAGAACGAGCTGGCCAACAAGGAGTCCTTGCACCGCCAGGTACCTCAGGGTGGGTGGCTGGGGGGCATTTTGCTTAGTCCTGGAGATGTCCTGGTGAACCTACCCACAGTGGCCGAGGAGCCCCTGGGTCCAGCAGGTCGCCCTTCGAAAGGGGAAGTCAGGTGTCTCGGGCAGCCAACAACCAAGATCGTCCCTTGCTGCTTCTGACCTGTCGTCTGCTCTCTGCCGAGGCTGGGTTAGGGGTGGGGGCTTCAGTGCTCCCTCTCGAATCACTTCACCAACCCCACGTCGCTAGTGTGAGGAGAAGGCCCGACAACTGCAGGAGCTGCTGGAGGCGGCAGAGCAGAAGCTGCAGCAGACGATGCGCAGGGCAGAGACGTTGCCAGAGGTGGAGGCTGAGCTGGCCCAGAGAATTGCAGCCCTCACCAAGGCAAGTGGGCCGGGGGCCTGGGATCTGCCTCTGTCCCCCATCTTCCGAGCTCTCAGGGAGCCAGGCAGGGAAGGGAGTGTGTGGGAGGCGCATTGGGCCAGGAACCAGAAAACCGCTTCCCGCGGTGTGACCCCAGGGAACACATTGCCTGTGACTGTCCGCTGGAAGAGTAATCCCTGTCTTCATCACTCTGCAGGGATGTGACAATCTCATAAGAAGGGATGTAAAAGTACTTGAAGGAGTTGAAACTCTGTTGATGCAAAGTATTTTTTTTCTTTTAATCATCTACAGTGTTGTCATGAAGACTTACTTTCGTTTGGGGCTAGGGCAGAAAGATGAGGACTTTCACCTCTGGATACATGAAATCTTAGAAGGGATACTGTATATATATCCCTGAAGGGGAAGGGGTCGGGGTTAGGTTGAGTATGTCTTTGACTGCCAAACGGAAGCATTCTAGAGCTAGGGACTGCCTCTGATTGTTTGAATCCTGCAGTTTTAGGATAAAGAAAAGGGGATATAATTTTATTTAATGGATGCTTTATGCAGTAGTAATTCTGAGAGGTATGCTGGCTGAAAACATACAGGTTCTGGAAGAGCCAGGTAAATGCATGGACTTAGACATGCAGGGGTTAATCAAAAGAATTTAGCAGTGTTTTCAGCTGGTCAGCCTCATGTGGGATCACGGTGGCTCTCTCCGAACCTGGAACCTGCAGTGAGGAAACCTTTGTTTAGGAAGCACCAGGCACGGGGCTTGGAAGGGACAGGCTGGCCAGCCAGTGTGCAGCTCAGCTGCTTCGAGGACGGAAAATGCAGCCTGGCTGTGTCCCAGCAGACCTAGGACCAACACTGCTTCTGCCAGTGACTAGCTCTGCGACCTGGGAAAAGTCAGTCCCTGCCTTAACTGGGCCTCAGTGTCCTTATCTCTATGGTGGTGGTAGACAGAATGGTCTCAGAGGTCATTCTAGCCTTGAGGAATGAGGGATTGGGTTGAAATCACAGCAGAGGTTGTTATGTGTGGGCTGCTGAGTAGTCAGCTTTAGTGTCTCCCAAAGCTGACATGAAGGCATGGCTGGAATGTTTCATACAGTCAAGTGAGTCATCACAGGAGGAGCTGAAGGAAGGACTGCCTGGCTATAAGAGGTGTGGCTCTCTAGAATATCTTGCCAGCAGAGACAGGAGTGTCTTCATCTCTGGGCATCCATGACTGAAAGGGGAGATGCCTCCACCTGGGCGGATTTAACAGCAGAGCTAGTAGCCACGCGAGGCTGACGCTTGTTGAGTGCTCACTGTGTTCTTAGTGTTGGCCTTGGATTATTTCATTTAGTCCTTGCAAAGGTCTAGTGGGCTTGGGTGCTGTTATTACCCACATTTTACAGTTGCGGAAACGATAGCACCTAGAGGTTTGATAACTTGCCCAAAGTCACACAAGTGGTGAGAGGAGCCAGGATTTGAACCCAGGGGCATGGCATGAGTCCATGCTCTTCAGTGTGGTTCTATCCATCTGGAAGCACAGAGATTTATGGTGGCTCATGCTTTCAAGTGGAGCTTTTTCTGGTAGCACGGGGAGGATTTAGAGTCCCTTGAACTGCTAGCTCCAGGATGTTTTAAGGCGAGCCCTGAGCGGGGAAAAGGTAGGGGAGACCTGGCAGGTGTTGGGGTACCTGGGAAGAAAGGCAGTGGGGATGGAGGTTCTGCTCCGAGATGGTAGGTGGAGGCTGAGCTTCATTGGTACCAGGGGCCGTAATCCCCAGGGCCACCCTGGCACTAGGGTGCAGGGAATATGGGGCCTGAGCAGGAGGAACAGAGGGCTATGGGCTGCACCGACCCATCCCTGCCCGTAGGCTGAAGAACGGCATGGCAACATTGAGGAGCACCTGCGGCAGCTGGAGGGACAGCTGGAGGAGAAGAACCAGGAGCTGGCACGGGTGAGGGCACCAGGCTGGGCCTGCAGGCCCCTTTCTTACCCCAGGGCAGGCTCCCAGGGCGGTCTGTGGGAGGAGCACGGAGCAAGGGCCTGACCAGGGACAGAGCCACAGAGGGTGGGAGGAGGCTGGCAGGTGCAGGAGGAGATGTCGGGAGAGTGGAGAGAGGGGCTCCTAGAGGATGAGAGGAGTTGAACCCCAGCAGGAGAGGGTGGGGCTTCTGGTGAGGGCGGCCTGGTGCGAGGTAGGTGGCTGTGCAGGTGCGCCAGCGGGAAAAGATGAATGAGGATCACAACAAGCGGCTGTCGGACACAGTGGACCGGCTGCTCAGCGAGTCCAACGAGCGTCTACAGCTCCACCTGAAGGAGCGCATGGCAGCCCTGGAGGAGAAGGTGCCTGGAGGGGCGGGGCTGGGATGCCAGAGGTCAGTGTGGGGTGGGAAGGTGGGAAGGTGCAGCTGGGGTCTCACTGGGGTGGCTGGCCAGCCTGGAGAGGTGGGGCTGACACTACACACCCGGAGGCTCAGGTCTGGATTGGGAGAGGAAGGCTGGGGCCTGGCTCACAGCTGCTCTCCCCCAGAACACGTTGATCCAGGAGTTGGAGAGCTCCCAGCGGCAGATTGAGGAGCAGCACCACCACAAGGTACCCGGCTGCGGCCCGCCCCGCCCAGCCTGGGAGGGCCGGGTTGCAGGGAGGAAAGGACACCCTGCTTCTCACGCAGCTGCTCCAATACCCAGCAGTGTTAGCGCATACGTTAGTGCACTACATACGCTGTTCCTCATGAGGGCCCATCATGGGAGGTGCGTCACTGCCTACAGGTGAAGAAGAAACTGAGGCCGGAAGCGTAGGGCAGAGATGAACAGCAGAGAGGCAGGGCCCAGTGAGGGGCTCCACCCAGGATTTGAGGGGGGCCTCAAACCCGGGTGCGGCCAGAGCCTGGTGATTCTGGGAGGGTTCACCTCTGTCCCGGCCTCAGCGGTGTCTGCGAGGTCTGGGAGGGCGCTCTGCTGCCCCGCCTCATCTGCTGTGCGTTTGTGCGGTGGTGAGGGCTCAGCAGGTTTGGCTAGCAGAGCCCTCCCCAGACAGACCCCCTCCCGGCCCTGCCCCTCTGCCCATCCTTCCATTCACTCTCCGGTTGGACCTCTTCTCTTTTGGTGTCATCTGTGGGCCTGGCTTGGGGCCCCTGATTTTGGACTTTGTAGTACATTCTTCAGCTTCTCTCCAACTCTGCTGTCCTCTTTGTCCCTCTCTGACTCCCACCCTCCCTCTCTGCTCCTCCCTGCCCCCACCCCTGGGTCTGCTGGCACAGGGCCGCCTGTCTGAAGAGATTGAGAAGCTGCGCCAAGAGGTGGACCAGCTGAAGGGCCGAGGGGGGCCGTTTGTGGACGGCGTCCACGCCAGGTACTGCAGCGCCAGAGGCTGGGCGCGCCAGGATGGGGCCCTGACGGACCCCGCGGAAGGAAACTTCCTTCCAAAAAAAAATGCGCAGGACCTCAGGGTCCTCGTCCTATTCAGGGTGGGACATTGAGGCTTGGAGAACTCGGTCAGAGTCACCCAGCTTACTTGGGCAGTTTGAGAGGGAACACCTCTCCTCTGAGGGCTGCTGAGAGGCAAGTTATCAGACAGACAGTTCCCTGTCCCCACTGCAGTGGGACGTAGGCCATGCTTCCTGCTTCCTTGACAGAGGGCACACCCTTGAGAAAGGTCTGCAGGTCCCTTGCTCACCCGTGTCCCGCAAGGCTCACTGGCAGTGAGAGCTACTCATTCCAGTTCTCTTGAGAGTCAAGGCCCGCCCAAGTTTAGGCAGTGGGCAGAAAGGCAGCAGGAGGGATTGGATGGAGCCTCGGAAACTTCCTTACTGGAAGTTGGACACGCCATGGCAATCCTATGGCCTTGGCATTCCTTTTCTTGAAACCATCGTAAGAGATGGAGTTTATCTCCTAATGCTTGGATTAGGCCCATGTTTCGGGAACCTCTGTGTTTCCCCTCACATTGTGTGGAGTGATTGGTGTCGAACTCGGACCTCGAGCCTGTCCTCAGTCCCCAGGCCAGAGAGGTAGGGTGAAGGCAGAGGAGACAGAAGTGGATGGTGCCACTCAAGGCTCATGGCTCTGGGCTGTTTTCTTTCCAAACCAAAGACTCTTAGATCAGAACCCTGTCGTTCCCTTTGGTCATGTGCTTGCTCTATCCAGGAAATGGGGACGAATTACCGTGAAGAACAGTGAATGGAAATACGCATATGGGCATGTGGAGGGGCAGTGCTTGTAATAGGGAAGGGAACACTGAGCTTGAAGAAGAGAAGCCCTTGTGTCTGGAGTAGTAGAGGCTGAAGTGCCTTCTCCACGTTCGCCAGGAATTACTGTATATAGGTATGAAGAGAAGCAGAGGATGGAGACAGGTAACAGTAGTTGGGATTTCTCCTACGTCTCCCCTCCGGACCAGAAGAGACAACCCCTCAATTAGTGAAGCACAGCCCATAGTACACCAGGCCATTTGCCACTGCTCAGCTTTCTGTAATGGTTGGGCATTCTTCGGTTCGACTGTAGAATCGCTGGATACTTCATGGAATTGCAGCTGAGTTGAGGGAGAAAAGGGGAATTTGCAAGCACTTCCCTCTCCCTCCAGGGACCTTGTATACTTGCATAGTCTGCTGCAGGCTCACTGTGTCCCTTTGTTCTGGGCTCCCTCAAGGGTTCCAAATAGGAAGGCACAGGGACGTGGTGCCTAGGGGAGGCTTCCAGATACTCCCCGGGATTGTTGCTTGGGTCCTAAAATCTCAGGGACTCTTGGAGCACTCAAAATGTTTTCTCTAGCTCGTGTTTCTGACAGTGTCAGGCCTCCTAAAGCTTCCTGGGGATAGCGGGTATTCCTGGCTTGAATTTTAATCAGGGACTCAGTCCAGATTATGGGGAGACCTGAGGAAAAGTGCTGGGTAGAAGACCAAAAACAGAGACCCTCAGAGTGAGAAGGACCTTTAGACATCATGCCTTCCAACCTGTCCCAGTGTCGGGGAGCCCTCCTGCGTCATGTGTGTCAGATGGCCAGAGAGCCTCTGCTCCAATACCTCTTTGCTGGGGAGCTCAACTTTTTAAAAGCCGCCAGTTGCGCCATAAGTCAACCCTTGCCATTAGAAGTTCCTTCTCATGCCATATGGAAAGCCGCTCTCTGGAACTTTCTGCCCTGGCTCATTCTGACCCCTGGAGCACCAGAGCATATGTCTCCTCTCTTGCTTACATGGCAGCCCTTCAGACATTTATGACAGCTCCGTGTCCTGCTAAGACTTCTCTGAGCTGAAGATCCCTTGACTCTTTGTGCCCACTGGGGTTGAGCTGGGGCTCTCAGTCCTCAGGGCCTGTCTCTCTCTCCCCCGTCCCCGCTCCAGGCCACACATGGGCAGTGCAGCAGATGTGCGGTTCTCCCTGGGTGCAACCACCCACGTATCCCCAGGCGCACATCGCCGCTACTCGGCATTGAGGGAAGAGTCTGCCAAGGTGAGGGGGTGGAGGGGTCTCCTCAGGGAGTTTGGGGTCAATTCGGCCGCGTGCCTGGCTCCAGTTACGCAGACGGCTGGTGTGTGGGGCAAATCCTTCCCCTTCCCTCCCCTGTGTTAACGACAGCTGCAGCCCTGGGGTTGAGGCCATCGTCAGCTGCAACAGCTGTGACCCCCTTGCCTTGGCCTCCTGGTGGGCAAGGGGTGGGGCTGGCGGGGAGCCAGTCAGTCCCTGCAGCCCCACTGAAGTGTGTGTGCATGTGCCTGGGTGTGCAGGCGTGTGTGTCTGGTGGTCAGGGTGGGGGCTTCATGGGTAAGATGGAATTGGCACGCTTTCTGGAACAAAAGCTGTGGTTCACGGGGGAGATGAGGGAAGGATGACAGGTTAGCTGGCCCTGGACCTGGAGTCTTCTGAGAAGCAGCTGTGAGTTCACGCTGTCTGCGTCTGCCCAGGGAGATTAGGGGAGAATGAGGAAAGACACGGGGCAGAAAAATGCCGAGTCCCATCTTTTGGGAAGGTGCGATTATTCATCGTGGTTTGTCCTGAGTGCAGGTCCTCTAAATAGCATTTAGTTCACTGGGGTATTAGAGGATATGTTTGCAGAAAGAGGAAGCTCTTAGTCTTGGGAAGATTCATTTCTGCCCTTGAGAAACCCCTAGTCTTATGGGGGAGTCACAGTCTGAAGGTGCCTCTTTTTCTTTCTCTCCCCACTTCTGTACTTTTTCTGTTTATAAGAATATAGTAGCTGCCGAGGAGCTGAGAGGCTGCAGGAGCCCTGAAGGGGAACTGGGGGTTCGGGTCGTAGAAAGGTGTCAGAGTACCTTTCTGTCCCTGGCCCCTCCTTCTCTGCTCTTCTGGCTCTCCCAGCTCAGTTTTCTGCCTTTCCCCCTTCTGGGCCTTTCTCCACTGGATAGGTTTATAGGATAATTTCAGAGAAGCTGCCGCCTCTCAGGGTTGACCACACTGCTCTGTGATGAGCTGAAACTGCCGACTGTCTCCTCAGGACTGCTTGGCCTTTCTGGTTCCCTGGGTGTAGTCAGCCTTTGAGTTTGTATGGATGGAAACTGATAGCATTTATATGGTGCTTGCTTTGTGCCAGGCACTGTGCTAAGGGCTTTACATGTATTTTCCTCATTCGATCCTCACAGCTATCTATGAGTAAGTACTTTACCATCCTCATTTTACAAATGAAGAAACTGAGGCGCAGAGAGGTTAAACAATTTTCCTGTGGTTGCACAACTAGAATTCGTTGGAGCCGAGATTCAAACCAAGGCAGGCTCTCTCTGGACTCTCTTCTTAACCACTGCTAGTTAGCTTTTTCAGTTAGTTTGTGCAGTATTTCTTAGACTGTCCTGTGCAAACACATCACCCAGGGGTCTTGTTAAAATGCAGATGTTGAATCAGTAGGACCGGTGCTGTGGCGTTTTCAGCCAGCTCCCAGGAGATGTCAGTGCTGCTGGGTAGAGGTAGGGAGGGTCTGCCCTGCAGTTATCTGGGTGTCTTATTATGACTCCTTTACCCTCCTCCTTTGTTAAGGACTGGGAGACTTCTCCTTTGCCTGGGATGCTGGCCCCGTCAGCCACCCCTGCCTTTGACAGTGACCTTGAGATCTCCGACATGGATGAGGATGAGCCAGGAGGTCTGGTGGGCTCCACAGACGTTGTCTCCCCCAGTGGCCACTCAGATGCCCAGACCCTGGCCATGATGCTGCAGGAGCAGCTGGATGCCATCAACGAGGAAATCAGGTTAGGGGAGAGGCGGAGGACCTGGAAAGTGCGTTGAAGGGCATCGGGGCCCTTTGTGTTGGAAAAATCCTATATGGATTTGCTCATATCTTATGACTGCAACTTAGAGTGCCACAGTTCAGGGACCCTTTGTGGGGCATGTGCCGGAGTGAGAGGGTGGGGCCTCAGTGGACTTCTCAGGCTTTACCTCCCCTCTCAGGGCTTGCGATATGGCTGGGCTCAAGAGGATGCACATGGTGTTCCTGCAGGCCGGCAGCTGATCATAACCACGAGGAGTGTAGCTCCCACTTACTAAGGCCAGCTCAGGGTGAGGGCTTTGTAAATGTCACTGTCTGTCTTGCCACAGTCCCTGAGGTAGGCAGCGTGATACCTGCTTTACAGACAAAGAGGTTAAGTGACTTACCCAAAGCCACACAGAAGTGACAGAGCCAGGATTCAAACTCAAGTCTGAACTCGGTCCACTGCACCATACCTCCTGTCCCTAGTGAGGCATCAATCGAAAACAATGACAGGGAAAGTTGTGAAACCTTCACTTTATCCTGACTTTTTAATGAGTTTATTAATGTTAATGACAAACAGCAGTGCAATATCTGAGCTGGAGTGTATCAGAGCTTTACAAGCTGTACAAGTCATCAGTTCAATGGTTCAAGGTATTGCACAGACCAGTTACAAAGAAGACACAGACACACACACACACAGACACACACACACACACACACAGAGAGAGAGAGAGAGAGAGAGAAAGGAACAAACATAGGACCACCAGCTTTTTGTTTTGCAAAGTAAAACATTAATGATAATGACTATCTATTATCACAATCATTCTGCAAAAGAAAGGGCATTTTAACATTCTGGAAGTAAGAAAGACATGCTTAGAATAAAGGCGAGTCTGTCTTTGTGAAAGGCAGTGGGCATCTTTACTGCAGCGTGTGTGTGTGTGTGTGTGTGTGTGTGTGTGTGCGCGCGCGCGAGAGAGAGAGAGAGAGAGAGAGAGAGAGAGAGAGAGAGAGAGTGTGTTTGTGTGTGTGTGTGAGTGTGTGTGTGTGAATGGGCTGTGTGTGTGTATGTGTGTATGTGTGTGTGTGCATGCTTTCCTCACTGAATACCTCCCATGCACACACATACACTATTGTTAGTTTTCTCATTTTTCTGTGGAACAGGGAAAACCCCATCAGGGGTCAGCATCATTTAAAAATCCTACACTTGGAAACTGCTGACTTATACCACTTCATCATTGCATATGTTGGGAAACTGAGGCACAGAGAGCAAAATACCTGACTGAAGCCCACCCCTGTAGTTAGGCAGGGGTAGGTCGAGAATTCTGATTTTCAGGGTGGTTTATGTTCCACCGACCAAACTGCCTTCTTCCTCGGTAGTTTTTGTAGATGGAGGGAGTAGGCAAGTTAACAAGAGAGAGACGTGTTTTTAAGCTCCAGTGGGACAGACACCCTGCCTGCTGGGCCTTGTGTCCACCACGTGAGGATGAGTGCAGGCATCAGCCCTCACCGCCTCCTGTTGATCCTGGCTGAGGCTAGTGGTGAGGTCTGGTTTTACCTGCCTTCCAGGATGATTCAGGAAGAGAAGGAGTCCACGGAGCTCCGCGCGGAGGAGATTGAGACGCGTGTGACCAGCGGCAGCATGGAGGCCCTAAACCTGAAGCAGCCGCGCAAGCGCGGATCCATCCCCACCTCTCTGACGGCCCTGTCCTTGGCCAGCGCGTCCCCACCGCTCAGCGGCCGCTCCACACCTAAGCTCACCTCCCGCAGCGCAGCCCAGGACCTGGACCGGATGGGGGTCATGACCCTGGTGAGAGGCAGCTGAGGAGCCGCCCTGGCATTACTGGGCCCTGCACTGGGGGGGGGTTTTAAGGGATAGTATGATTCTCGTGCTCTCACCTGGGCCTGCGGGGGAGGGTTTTATTTATTTATTTTATTTTTTATTTTTTAATAGAGAGGGGGTTTCACCATGTTGGTCAGGATGGTCTTGATCTCCTGACCTTGTGATCTGTCCACCTTGGCCTCTCAAAGTGCTGGGATTACAGGCATGAGCCACTGCGCCTGCCCCACTACCTTTTTTTTTTTTTTTTTTTTTGCTGGGGAGGTTTTAAGGGAGGGTAGGACTCCCGTGCTCTCAGCTGGGCCTGCAGGGGTTTTTAGGGGTGGTAGGACTTACATGTTCTCAGCTGGGCCTGCCTTCTTCTTCCCATAATGTGTGCAGACCCTGACATGTCAGCCACCAACCTGTCCTTCTGTGTTTGGGAAGGGCCTAGGTCATATCTTCTTTGTCCTCTCCCTTGGATGAGCCCAGACTACTTAAGAAACTCGCCCACTACCCTTCCCTGTTCCTTTCTTCCAGAGAAATAAGTCCTGGCTTATTTTTCTAGACCAGCTTTATTTTCTGGTGTGATATTCTTTCTGGGGCTGTGGGAGGCATGAATCCTATCTTCTCATCCTAAGACCACTGGGCTCCCCTGGGGTTGGCTTTGGGGCAGCCAGAGGGTGAGTCCAAGCTTACCCTTCCCTTTCTCTTGTAGCCCAGTGATTTAAGAAAGCATAGGAGGAAGCTGCTGGTGAGTGCTGCCTGATGGCCCAGGTACTAACGGGTTCACTGCTCCCGCACCCTTTCCTTTCGGCTTCTTCCCCCAGGGCCCTTGAGTCTGAGTCTGAACTCAGAGAGGCACTCAGGGCCTCCCCACTGCATTTCTCCACGCTCCTCCACCTCTTCTGGGCTGGGTAGGCAGGCCCGAGATCTCTCTCTCTATCCCCTGACGGCTCCACTGTCTGTTCAGTCGCCAGTGTCTCGGGAAGAGAACCGAGAGGATAAAGCCACCATAAAATGTGAGACTTCTCCTCCTTCCTCACCCAGGACGCTGCGGCTAGAGAAGCTTGGCCACCCAGCCCTGAGCCAGGAGGAAGGCAAGAGGTAAGTGGAGCAGGCCCCACCTCTAGTCTCCATCCGCAGGGTCACCTCCTCCCTTCCTCTGCCTCTGCAGGGACTGCATCTCCCCCATTCCAGGTTCCTGAATGTCTTACTTCTCTTTGAAACACCATCAGGGAAGGGAGTTCCTGTGTCTCCCTTGCCCCCACCCCAGTTCTGACACTCAAGAGAAGTTCTTCCTAAGGTCTAACTTCCATCTTTCCTGCTGTCACTTAAGTATGTTTCTTCTTATTCCGCCCCCTTCTGGCTGTCACCTTATAGTGCCTTGGAGGATCAGGGCAGCAATCCCAGCAGCAGCAACAGCAGCCAGGACTCCCTGCACAAAGGCGCCAAGCGGAAGGGCATCAAGTCGTCCATTGGCCGCCTGTTTGGGAAGAAGGAGAAGGGCAGACTGATCCAGCTGAGTCGGGATGGAGCCACAGGCCATGGTCTCTGTCCCCTTCTGAACGGAGGTCTGGGCGGGCATCAGAAGCAGGAAGGTGTACTTGGACTGGCCTTCTCTGCCTTCGTCCCAGGGATGAGTGGGGGGAAGCCCCAGGAAGGCGATTTCAGATCTGCAGGAGCAGTTTTCGGTCAGAGATATTCATGGCAGGGTGGACTGCCTCCTGAGGGGGTAAGCTCCTGCCTCTACGAACGTCAGGAAGTGGCTGGGTGGCCTTTATTTGGCATGCTGTGGAAAGGTCTCCTGTACTGAGCGAAAGATTGGGCCTCTGGGGTTTCTTTTTCTTTTTTTTTTTTTTTTTTTGAGACGGAGTTTCGCTCTTGTTACCCAGGCTGGAGTGCAATGGCGCGATCTCGGCTCACCGCAACCTCCGCCTCCCGGGTTCAGGCAATTCTCCTGCCTCAGCCTCCTGAGTAGCTGGGATCACAGGCACGTGCCACCATGCCCAGCTAATTTTTTGTATTTTTAGTAGAGACGGGGTTTCACCTTGTTGACCAGGATGGTCTCGATCTCTTGACCTCGTGATCCACCCGCCTCGGCCTCCCAAAGTGCTGGAATTACAGGCTTGAGCCACCGCGCCCGGCCGGCCTCTGGGGTTTCTTTCAATTTGGAGGTTTTCTGATGTACTGTGCTCAGGACCTTCAGGAGAAATCTCTTGGTTCTTTCTTTAGAAGAGTTAGTTCTTGACTGGAATTTATTTCTGGGTACATCTGGCCTCTGGGACTCAAAATGTGATAACACCTAATTATAGCTTTGTAGACATTAAATTCAAGGAAGGGAAGGTGGCATCGTTATCACCTCTGTGGTAGTATAAAGTTCTGGTACATGCCTGGCATGTGGTGAGTGCACAGGAAATGTTGGCTTTCATCTGCCCCCTCTCTTCTAGCTCTTCTCTAGTTTCCTTCTCGTTCTCCTCTTCTTTCAGTCACCTATTCAGCCACTTGTTCCACAAACATTTATTGAGGAACGACTATGGCTTAGTAACAGGTGCTCAGCAATGGTTCATTCCTTCAGGGAGCTCAGTGTCTAATGAAAAGGAAGAAGTGAAGAGACAATTCCAGAACAATGTATTGATAGAGACATTCCCAGGGTGCTTCTGGGACTCAGAACTCAGCTCTGGAATGGTGGGGATGACAAGGGTGGCCTCCTCTGATAGCAACACCTGAGCTGACATGTGAAGGCCACAGAGGAATTAGCCGAGCCAGGGAGAGGTCTGTGTGTGGAGGAAGTGGGTGGGTGGTCTGGGAAAGGCAAAGTTCTGTGGGTGTGAGAGGTTTGTATGTACTTACGCATGTTCAGGTTTGGGAAGAAGGAGCAGGGGAGGAGTGGGGAGATGGGACTGGGCAGCTAGGCTGGGGCCCGCTGTAAGAGTCCTGCAGCATCTGTTTTAGTTTAAAAGTTCCCCTGAGGCAGTGGGAGCGCTGATGAATTTCATGCAGGGGAGGAACCAATCAATGAGAATAAAGGAAACTTTGGACCCAAATGCATAATTAGACCTTTCTGCACCTCAGGAAGATATGACTCAGAAGATAGCTAGCTGGGTGAGGAGGAGGAGGAGGGAGAGCTTGAGACGAGGAGGTAGGGGGAAGAGGAAGAACAGAGAGGAATTCGCTGAGACGAGGAGAGGTCTGTGTAGGAAGGAAGTGGTGATCTGGGAATGGAGAGGAGGAAACATGGCCACCTCTGCTCAGGATATGGGAGCATCAGCCCAGAGAGGTCCAGCTTCTTCCTCCCCAGTCCACAGGGGCAAGTGGAGTTGTGGAGCTGGCTACAGATAGGGGAAGCTGAAAGGCTTGATCAGGGGAAGAAGCATTTTGGGGGAAGCCGTATGATTTCCGATACTCTCCACACCACGTTGGCACTTAAACCTGAGACATCACCTCAGATGAGTTTCTGGGTTACCCACACCTGTTGCCTACTGTGCATTTTGGGTGTGTGTGTGACCAGGACTTAATTCTAAGATTCTGCCTCTGGCCATGAATTCTGTAGGTTCCTAGCATCAATTTGAGGAGATATTTAGTAGAAGACGGAACTCTACATGTTCCCTTTTGTGTTTTTGTGCAAGTGAGTGCACCCAGAGAAGAAGGCCCAGAGACACACCTCTCAGTGTGCGGATTTCCCCACCCCGACCCAAGCCAGGGCCATCCTTCTCTCTGAGCCTTGTGGCCCACTGTGTCTGGGGCTCTGGGTTTCCTTTGCACCTTGGCTTGGAGGAAGGGCAGGTTCTGTCTAGGATTCTGGGTGGGATAACTTGGGTCCATCTGGCTGGAAAACACCCCCAGGGCTGAGGATCTTGGGAGACTCTCTGAACTAGGGATGACCCACTTGATGCCACTGTCTGAGACTGCCTGGATGTAGGGACATTGAGCAGAAACTCCAGGAATGGTGGTTCTATCAGGCCATCAGTTGTCCTCTGCTGAGGAAGCTTCTGCAGCTTCTGTTCCCCACCTCTGATCCAGGCAAGGGAGGAGAGGCAGAGGGCCTGGCTGACACACACATCTCTTTCCTTGTAGTTATGCTAACAGACTCCGAGTTCAGTATGCAGGAGCCTATGGTGCCTGCCAAGCTGGGGACCCAGGCAGAGAAGGACCGGCGACTGAAGAAGAAGTAAGAGCCACAGGCCAGGCTCTGCCAGGGTGGGGCACAGCCCCCCACCCACTTTCCTTCTCCTGGGCGGCTGTGAAACTGAGCTAAGGGACCCAGATCCCAGCAAGGCCCTTCCTGAATTGATTTGGCCTGGTCCATGTGGGCACAGCAGGGCTGAGAGAAAGTTCTTAGGTTGCACCTAGAGAGAAGGAAGCAAGGGGATGATGGGAGAGTGACCTGGGTCCTGTGGGTCTCTGGCAGGGCAGATTGAAATCTCTAAGTCAGTGTCAGGTCACATGCAGAGAGCCCCTTGCCCTCTGGGGGTGGAGAGGTATTCCTGTCCCATTTCTTGTTGTCATATTGCTTCAGGCGTAGAGCAGAGGAAGTCCAGGGTGGGGAGCAAGGATTGTGGGTATCCAGGGGTCCCTGGAGCAAGCACAGTTAAGAGAGAAGGAAGAACTAGTGAGTCTGTTGTTCCTCTTCCTATAAGACACCAGCTGCTTGAAGATGCCCGCAGAAAAGGAATGCCCTTTGCCCAGTGGGATGGTCCGACTGTGGTCTCCTGGCTGGAGGTAAGCCTGAGCCAAGGAAGTCGACTCAGAGGTCTGGAGGGAAGGATGTGTGGGGTGGGCAGAGCGGTGGTGTCCTGGAACTTTTACAGTGTGTTTCTCCTCTGCCAACTGCACATGTGCCATACCTAGCATTTAGCTCCTCTCCCTCTCCCCAACACACACACATACCAGTCAGAGGACAGAGCTGATGCTACTTTTAATCTGTAAAACAGGAGAGAGAGGGATTTGATGACCTCCACATTCCTATGATCTGCATTTGTTATTCTGAGTCCATGGATGAGGCCTGGCCCTTGCCCCTTGCTATTGCCAAACTTTTGGTGGTAGGGCCCAGGCCTTGAATTATATTCCCTGTGCCCGGTCTCTGCAGCTCTGGGTAGGGATGCCTGCCTGGTACGTGGCAGCTTGCCGGGCCAACGTCAAGAGTGGTGCCATCATGTCCGCCCTGTCGGACACAGAGATCCAGCGGGAGATTGGCATCAGCAATGCCCTGCACCGGCTCAAGCTCCGCCTGGCCATTCAGGAGATGGTGTCACTGACCAGTCCTTCCGCCCCGCCCACCTCCAGGACTGTGAGTGGCCCCTCCCTTGGCCAGGACATTTTCAGAGGTCCTGGAACAGTATCTGCAAGGTCTCCTGTTGGGCTTTGGGAAGATGCAGCATTGAGTCCTGCCCCTTCCTTCCCATCCTCACAAAGGGCTCTCCCTGGTCTTCAGGAGGATATGACATTGATTCTAGGAGGATCCCAGCGGCCTTGGTTCCCTGCCTCTCACATACCACCCATGGGGTTCCATCTCCCCATCCCTACTCTGCCAAAATTTCCAGGTTTCTGGGCAGAGTTCCCAGGATGGGCTTTCTGGGGTTTTGTATGGTTGCCAGGTTGGGGGAAACAAAGGGAAGAGGGCATTTGTGATATTGTCTTGGTCCTCTAACCTCAACACAAGAATGCAGGCTGCTCCATGGGCCCCTGGAGCAGCCATAAACCTTTTATTACTGGCCATCTCCATGATTGATGTCAGCCCCCATTCCAGATCAGCAGCATGCATTCTTATTCACCCAGGAAACATTTATTGAGTATTTTCTATGTGCCAGGTGCTGTGCTAAGCAGTATAGCTATGGTGGTAACAGAGATGTGGCTTCTGCTATCCACTTGCTTAGAGCCAGAGAGTGTGCAGAGCTGTGGGCTGGACCCCTGGGAGGATCCAGGGAGGGAGCTTTGTCCTTGTCCTTTGGGTGCCCAGCCGGATGGGGATCCTGGGGACCCACACCCAGAACGAACTAGGTTTCCTCTCTGCCTGCAGTCTTCTGGGAATGTCTGGGTTACCCATGAAGAGATGGAAACTCTGGAAACATCTACTAAAACAGTGAGTCTGGCCCTTGACTTTTGTCTTTGGGCCTGGGGTTAAGACTGATGATGTCCACAGGATGAGGGGAAGGTTGTGGGCAGTCAGAGTGGGTTGCCATAGACCTCATGTGAGACTGGTATCCTTGATGTGTGATCTGCTCTCAGGGTGGAGGGCTGTTGGGAGAGGGGTGGGGCTGGGAGCAGTTGGTATGTGTGTGGTCCTTCCCAGGGGGTCACAGGCTTGTCCTGGGCCGTTGGTGTGCTGCAGGGGAGGGGAGTTGGGCTGGGGAGGGCTCTGCCCTTTATGGACCTGAGCCACAGAGTCTCTGTCCTTATGCTTCCTCCCTGGTGGAGGAATGGGGAGCACTGGGAGAGCTGGGCATCTTGCCTGGCTCCCAGTTAAGCCTGGGAGATGTGTGTTTTTGCCAAACACATATTTGCACTGCCTGACCGCAAACATGGGTGCACACACCAACCTTGTATTCTCTCTCAACCATCCTGACAAGCTTTCCCCAGTTACCCAGCCAGATACTGGGGGATCTTTTTCCCCTCCTTGATGGGGCCTAGGGTAGAGCTGATGGGTTTCTTGACTTTGCCTGTTTCCCCTAAACGCTGCACTTGTTCCTGCTAGGACAGTGAGGAGGGCAGCTGGGCTCAGGTAAGACCCCTCCCCTGTGTAGAACCAGCTCCCAGAACTCCAAGATAGTGTTCTTCCAGTAGGTTCTCTCCCCAGCAGGAATCTCTGAATCTCACTTCCCATGAAAAGCCCTGGACACAGGTTCTCAACTTCCACCAGAGCATCCCCACCCCCACCCCGTTCCCTTTAGCTGCTTGTTCTGGTTTCTCAGGATGGCAGGTGAAGATCCCTGGAGGGCTGTGGCCCCTGCACTCCTGGCCCTTCTTCTCAGTCTCACCTTTTTCCTAGGAATAATGAGAACTAGATTAGTATGAGTCTTCTTCCTCTCCCTGTCCCTCTCAGGGGCACCCTGGTGAACTGAGCGAAGGTCTGTCATCCATCCATTTCATGAACAAACATTTATAGGTATTAGGCCTTACCAGGCTCTCTGGATATAGAAGTGAACAAAGCAAGCCCTCATGGAGGCAGTAAACAAGTAAAGCAATAATATCAGTAAACAAACCATGTCAATAGGGATAAAAAAGACAGTCTCAATAAACAAAGGGACAATATTGGATAGTGATGCGAGCTGTGAAGAATGAAGCAGGGAGCAGCACTGTTTATACCTGCTCAAGAGATTGGCTGAATCATTTACACCATAAAACACCCTTGGCAGAGGTGATGGGGGGACCCATCCGATAGGTGTTAAATGAAGAATACATATCCTAACAGGTGCATGGAATTTGATACCAAAACTAAAAACTAAACAAAATTAATAATATGTTGTTTAGCTGGGCACAGTGGCTCACGCCTGTAATCCCAGCACTTTGGGAGGCTGAGGCGAGTGGATCACCTGAGGTCGGGAGTTAGAGATCAGCTTCATCAACATGGAGAAACCCTGTCTCTACTAAAACAACAACAACAACAACAATCAATTAGCCGGGCATGGTGGTGCATGCCTGTAATCCCAGCTACTCAGGAGGCGAGGCAGGAGAATCACTTGAACCCAGAAGGCGGAGGTTGCGGTGAGCCAAGATTGGGCCATTGCACTCCAGCCTGGGCAGCAAGAGCGAAACTCCATCTGGAAAAAAAAAAAAAAAAAAGAGTTGTTTAGGGAAATATACATGGATGATTGTAAAAAGTGTCAAACAATGTTTTACAACCAAGGGATTAGTCAGAAAACTCAGCATAGTGGTTCCCGCCGTGAGGGGCAGTAGGAGACCGTGGTGACATTGAGCATCAGCATGCAGGGTACATGGGGGAATGCCCTGCTGCTTAGCTTAGTTGGTGCCCACTGTTGCTAACTTCATTTTACGCTTCATAATGAGCATGCTACATATAGTCTTATAAGTGTCAGCTCTTACATTGTAAAAGAGAACAAAATAGACTTTTTCCATCTGAAAACATCAAGTAAGGGTAAGGAAAGAGTGAGGTAGGGTCACGGTGAAAACTAAAGCTTTCTCAGGACAGGTGGTCAAGGAGCACCCTGCCCAGATCAGGAGGCCACGTCCACATGGCACAGGCCCTGCAGGACCAGGGGGTGGAGTGTGCGTGGGAAAGCAACAAAGGACCTGGAGCCTTCTCAGAGCAGACGCTCAAGCCTTAGAGAATGAGTGTTGGTTATTCAGGCACAGGCCACCACCCTTTATTTTTTTCAATCGTCCGCCAACGTTTAGCTTCTTTGCTTCCGGCATGAAGCCAGCCTTGTTCCTGAGTGAGACAGGCTTCCTTTGCCACGCGGCAGGTTCTCTGTAACAACACAGCCTTTCCCCTGGGCTCAGCGGGCTTGAGGCTCACTGAGAGTCAGGAAGCCACGTCTGCTGCACAATACCACAAATGCAATCCAGAGTCAACAGGAAGGATTTCATATTAGCTGCTGCCGGGATAGCCACTTCTGTTCATTAGTGTAGATAATTGATATGAGTGGAATCGTATCACTTTGAGATCTTAAAAAGTTCCATTTAAAATCCCCACCTCCCACCACTCCAGCCCCCTTAGTGAAAATAAACTGAAATTGTACTGGACTGCCCTTCCTCCCTCATGGGTGGAGGATGGATTCATGCGTCTCCTAACCAGCTGTACCAGCCTCAGCCTGCCGGCTCTACCTTCCTCCCCCATAACCTCCTGCGTCTCCTTTCCCTAGACCCTGGCCTATGGGGACATGAACCATGAGTGGATTGGGAACGAATGGCTGCCCAGCCTGGGGCTCCCGCAGTACCGCAGCTACTTCATGGAGTGCCTGGTGGACGCCCGCATGCTGGACCACCTCACCAAGAAGGACCTGCGGGTCCACCTGAAGATGGTGGACAGCTTCCATCGGTGAGCGAGGCTGAGCCCGGGGCTGCCTCCCTCATGGGGACCTCCCCCAGCTCTGAGGGTCTGCCTCCAGGAACAGAGGCGCCTCCATCTCTTCTGTTGGCCTCTTCTGAGTGGTAACAGGTCTCTCCCCTTGGGAAAGTCTCCCTTGTCAAATCCTTGTCTCATCCTGTAATTTGAGGATTCTGATCCTCTGACCAGGTTTTTGTCCTCACAATGACCAGGTCATTATATCTAGTCTTGAAGACACAAAAAGTCCTTTTTCTTTCGCTTCGCCTCCTTTGAGATGTCCCCCCAGGTCTGAGTTTTACTGCTTGTCTTTGGCCTTGCTGAATTTGCTGTGTTTACTCCGACAAGACTCAAACTGAATCTGGTGTTCAATTTAGGGGTCTCATTCCCCCCAAGGTGAGGGGAAGGTCTTGCTTGGCCTTTGCCGTGCCAGCATCCCAGATCGGAACCTCTCTGCTTTGGGCTCACATCCTTTTTCAAAGGAGGTCATCCGGTCCTCTCCTCCTCTTTGCTGAAAAGATCTTCTGTTCAAAAGTGTCTGCGGCAGAGGTCTCAAACTGGCAGCCCGTGGACAGAATTTGGCCCAGAGATGTGTTTTTGTTTGGCCCACATATATCTTAACAACTCAAATTGAGTTGCCAGTATTTAAACAGTAAGAGGTTTTATATACAATTCTGGATTTCTGGCTTCTCTGGAAACCTTGAAAGCTCTGTCAACACATTCTAGCATGGAAGCAGCCAGCTGGAGCTGAAGAGCAGGACAGGTGGGCCTGCCTCGGGACCTCCCAGCCCCCCAGCCTCCGTCCCTCACTTGCGTTACCTGCCTGGTCCCAGCAGGCATTTGTGCTGGAGAACACAGTGGGTGGGCATGGTTCCAGGAGGTGGCAGTTTTTAGGAAGTCCTTCTTAATGTCCAGCTTCAGGTCGTGTGGGTGGCTCTTCGGCTGGATAATAAGACAAGGAGTAGCGTTCTTCAAGGTTGCCTCAGGGCTCCATGGATGTCCTGTGGTCACTCCGACTGAGAAGTCTTATAGAAAGTTAAATCTGGAAGGGATCTAGTTAGTGTCCCTGTTTTACGGATGAGAACATTGAGGCATGGGGAGGAGCAGTAGCCCAAGGTCACTCACGGATGACAGTGGAGTACAGGGGAACCCAGGTACGCTGATTCGAGCCCAGTGCTCTTGCCACCACAAGGCAGAGCCTCCTGGCCTAGAACCCTTGGCCTGTCTGACTCCAGCAGGAATGCTGACTTGTGAGGGAAGACTGCATCCTCTCCTCTGCACTCACCCCCACCCAAATCAGCTAGGGCTAAAAGGGAATCGTTTGTCTCTGCCTGGAGGCTGCCAGGCTCAGCTGCACCTGTCCCCTACTCAGTGATTGATGGGGCTGGGGAGAGTTGAGCTGTTCGCCTGCCAAGCCTGGATGTGCCCGGGCTGCTAGAGGATCTGTCAGCCCGGCCCCAGCCAGGACTATGGAAATCCTCCCCACAACCCCTCTGCCCCGTCCCCGGAAGAAAATTGCGGCCTGCACTTGTGATTCTAGGTTCAGCTCTGAATCTTGAGTAATTCAGAGTTTCTAAAACATTTTCACATCTCACTGCCAAACTATGTTTCTACCTGCTTTTATTCCACTTAATATTTCACAGGCATGTTCTTACGTCTTTAAAATTTCTTTTAAATCCTAATTTTTATGACAAGAAAGGGATATTTTAAAACCTTATTTTACAGATAAGGAAAACAAGTTCAACAGAGGTCGATTTCCATCGGGTCACTCAGCCAGGTGGTTACAGACTGGGGCTCAGTTCCTTGTCTCTTGACACCCTGCTCAGAGCTCTCTTCCTTGGGACATGGTGCTCTACTGAGCAGGTCTTCTGGAAGAGCTCCTGTTATGGTAGGACAAGCATGCACAATAGTCACGAATGTCACCCTAATAGTGCTGCCACTACCGAGTGCCTGCAATGTTCCCAGGGCTGGGCTAAGCTCTTGCATTAATTCTCACCTGCAGGAGAGGTGTGACCCCATCTCACATTTGCTGGATGTCCCCTCAGCTAGGAAGGGGCCGAGCTGGTATCCAAACCCAGGTTGACCTAACTTTCAGGGCTTTATATTTTTGCTGTGGTATGCAGCAGCTCTGAAGAAACTGGACTGAAAATGATCATGAGTGAGCTTGAAATTAGACAGAAAGCATTTCCAGTCACCATGTGTATACATGGCCCTTCACAGGGGAGCAAAGCTTAAACCAGCAGCTTGAGCAACACGTGAGTGGCTTGGGCCAGATAAGGGTTCCTGGAAGTGGCATCTCTGAGCTCTGTTGTAGGCTGAAGAACCTCCTGCTTAGAAATGAGGGGAGAGGAGGAGGGAGCAGTCTGTGCAGTTTAATCTCAAAAAGCAGTGCCCTCAATAAGAGTCAAAAGCAGGCTGGGCGCGGTGGCTCACGCCTATAATCCCAGCACTTTGGGAGGCCGAGGCGGGTAGATCACGAGGTCAAGAGATCGAGACCGTCCTGGTCAACATGGTGAAACCCCGTCTCTACTAAAAATATAAAAAATTAGCTGGGCATGGTGGCGCGTGCCTGTAATCCCAGCTACTCAGGAGGCTGAGGCAGGAGAACTGCCTGAACCCAGGAGGCGGAGGTTGCGGTGAGCCGAGATCGCGCCATTGTACTCCAGCCTGGGTAACAAGAGCGAAACTCTGTCTCAAAAAAAAAAAAAAAGAGTCAAAAGCAGACAGAGTTGGGAGGGACCTTCCATTCTAATTCTCTACAGATGGAAAAACTCAGAGAAGCTGAATGACAGGAGCGTTCAAGGAAGGAAGAATACTACAGCTCTTCCAAGATGGAATGAGCTGCCTTGGGAAGTAATGAGTTCAGGCACAGGTTCAGTGACTACTCTGAAGGAAGCTTATAGAGGTGACTCCTGCCTTAGGTGGGAGTGTGGACTGATGGCCTCAGGGTTCCTTCTGACCCTCAGGATCTGTGGTTCTATACCTGGCTTAGTTACTGAATGCTTACTGTGCACCTGATACTGTTTAAGTACTTTCAGTGATTTGTGTGAATTGATTATTTCATTTACTTCATCAAGCATTTGTAGACTCCCTGCCTGTGTTCAGGGTTTAAGATGAGTGAACAAGCTTATATTCTAACTGGAAGAGACAGTCAAGGAATAATTAATATATGATATGTTAATAGACAAAACATGCTAGGAAAAAAATTTGACCAGGGTGAGGGGGATTGGGAGTATGGGCCAGGGGAGGTGATGGTGATATTGCAATTTTAAATCTGATGAACAATGTGACTAGTGAATTGTACTGAGAAGGTGACATTTAAGCAAAGACTTAATGGAGACAAAAGGAGTGAGCTACACAACCGGCTGGGGGGGAGGAATGTTCCAGGCAGAGGCAGCCACCAGTGCAAAGGCCCTGAGGCCCGCAGACCCAGGGAGCGTGCTGGGTTTGAGGAGCAGCAGGGCTGTCAGTGTGGCTACAGCAAGAGAGCAAGGACAGTGGCTGAAGTGGGGTTAGACAGGTAGGGGAGCAGATCATGGAGTATCTTATAGGCCATTGTCACGACCTGAGTGAAGTGGGGATACAGAGGGGTATCTTGTTTTTGCTTTTTCTTCTACTTGCAGGTGGTAGGGCCTTTGTCATTCTAGTGCCTGGAGAGAGAGGGACCTGTTGGTTTGATTCAAAGAACTTTTTTCACATCAATCCCCAGGCCCGCTCCCTGGCTAAGAGGGAGGATATGGGGTAGACAGAGAAAGGGAGTAACCTTGGGATGGATCTTGGGCAAGCCCCTGGGGAAGGAGGAGTACGAGGGGGCTGGGGTACTCTTCGTGCTAGAGGCAGTAGATCTGGACATGCTGTGGCTGGCGCTGGATGTGGGACAGGTGGGGTGGGAATGTGGCCCCACTGAGGCTCTGGCTCGGGGGCTGTGTGTCTGCAGAACCAGTCTTCAGTATGGCATCATGTGTCTGAAGAGGCTGAATTATGACCGGAAGGAGCTGGAGAAGAGGCGAGAGGAGAGCCAGCACGAGATCAAGGGTAAGCTCGTCAGGCTTGGAGAGGGTGCAGGAGCAGCCTGCTGGGCTGGTCCCTGCCTTGAGCCAAGTGGAGGGGAGGCATTCTGTGGCTCAAGGAATCTCCCAGTCTGACAGGAAGAGGCAGCCTCACCTTAGGGAGCTCCCAGTCTGTTAGAGGAGACATAGTCCATGCCACGTTGGCTATAATTCCCCTCCCTCAATCCCACATACCAGACAGCAGCCACCAACTGGACAAATGCAGTGAATCCTCTGGAATGGTGCTATAGACTGGTGCTTGTGGCACTCGATGATCTGGGTGGCGTTGGATGGGAGACGCAAGTTTTAGAGGAGACCTTGCAGGTGGGAAGAATAAGAAGGCCATTTCAGCTGTGGGCAGGGGGGTGACCCATGCAAGGGCTCTGGGGAGAAAGCTCGGAGCCTGTTAGCCTGACTCCAGGTTCTGCAACCTAGCAGGGATGGAGTGAGTAGGGGGTTGGTTCTCCAGGAGCCCAGGTGCCAGGGAGGACAGAAAGAAGATATGGAAAGTTGGGGATGGGGTGGCGGCCAGAGAGCAAGGTGGACTAGGGGCTCTGGGTTTCGGGAGCTGTGCTTCTCATCCTTGGAGGGCCCTTGATGAAATGTAGTGTCTCCTTCCATCCCTTTTCTTCCCCCACCCTCCAGATGTGCTGGTTTGGACCAACGACCAGGTGGTTCATTGGGTCCAGTCTATTGGGCTCCGGGACTACGCAGGAAACCTTCATGAGAGTGGTGTGCATGGAGCCTTGCTGGCCCTGGATGAGAACTTCGACCACAACACGCTGGCCCTGATCCTCCAGATCCCCACACAGAACACCCAGGTGGGCAGCCTTTTAATCAGGCAACCTGTCTCTCCCTCCTCCCTCACTGGCTTGCTTTCTTTCTCTCATACACAAAGGCTTAGGTATCTTGCAGAAGGGGGAGGCGGGGGCTTTTCTAGGGCCTATGCCAGAGGGGATTGCAGTGTTCTCAATCCTCCAGTAGTCCCTGTGCATAAGAAAGCCCCCATGGGCACACATGGCTTTCACATACAGAGTACGCCTAGCGTGGGCCTGGCACATCCCCATCCTGCCTGGGGTACCTCCGTCTCCTCCTAACCCCACTTCCTAGCTGAGACTTCGAGCCTTCCTTTTCATCCTGCTTCTCTGATCTGACTTTTCTTAGAGGGGAACCAGTCCCAGGGCCTGGAGAGACCAGAGAGCCCATACCACCTTTGTCTACCACCCTACGGTCTGCTCCTGGGCCCCTGGGCTTCAAAAAGCTAAATATACCAAATCACAGAGCCCAGAGCTTCACCATGCCAGGGCTTTGGCTCTCTGTCAACAGCTCAAAAGATTAAACATCTCCTGAAATTACATTTTGTCATTTTTATGGAGCTGTCATCTAAGAATATATCTAAATGTTTCTTGAACCTATTTATATTTCTGGCCTTTTTAACTTCCTGTGGGTAATAGATTCTAGAAGTGCTGCTTGTTGTGTAGAGCACTTCCTGATTTTATTTGTCCTAAAAATGCCCCTGTCAGGCCCCTGGGGAAGGAACTACCTCCTCCTCATAGTTTAGGTTTGGTAAGGATATTTGTATTTAACCAGTTCTCACCTTTTGTGATTTCATAAACTCTGATTGTATTGCCTCTGGTCCCAAGCCTTTGTCTCTCCAGACAGAGTCTTCTTAATTCTTTTAGGCTTTCCTCATATAGACTTGCCTCTGTCCCCTGATTGTTTTAGCTGCCCTTGTCTGGACTGTTTGCAGCTGTCAGATCTCTTTTGAAATTCAGCCACCAGAGCTGCACAGTCTATTCTGGGAGCAGACACGTTTTGGCTTGAGTGAGGGCAGGGCTGGGTTGTCTCATAATTCTGGGTAGTGTGCTGGCCTTTTAGGGGTGGTGGCAGTGCACAGGGCCAGTGTGTCCTGTAGGCATTCGGCAGTGACCCCTCTACCCCAATGAGTCAAAATGCATAGGACAGATCTTGTCATTCTCCAAGAGGAACTTGGATTTCTCCCCCAAGGGCAGTTCTCTCCGCTTGCCCACTGGGCAAAAGCCTCATCTGTTGCTTTCCTGGCCACTCACATGGCTTTGTGAGATGCTGCTGAAATGTACACCTATCCTCCTCACCTCTCACTGCCCAGAGGAGCAGGGTCATTTGGATACTTGAAATTTACTATGCTTCTTTCAAATCATTTCTAAAAATGTTATGTTCCCAATGCTGGCACAGACTGTCCTTACGGTTAATATTTTCCCCCCAGAAATGGATTTTTCTCTTTCTTTGATTTCCTATCTCTAATGAATTCAGTTTTGGAGGATAGCAATAATTCTGTAAATAGTAGCAGGGACACCTCTCTATGGCTTCCTAACCTTTCTTAATTTCCTGATCCAGTCATTGAGCTTAGCTGTTGGGAGAAGTAGTGTCTGACCCAATATGGAATTCCTCATTTAAAATGGTTAAAAATGGCTCAGCGTGGTAGCTCAGGCCTGTATGCTCAGCATTTTGGAAGGTCAAGGTGGGAGGATTGCTTGAGTCCGGGAGTTCAAGACCAGCCTGGATAACATAGTGAGACCCAGTCTCTACAAAAGTTTTAAAATATTAACTGGGTTTGGTAGTGCGTGACTTTAGTCCCAGTTACTGGGGAGGCTAAGGCAGGAGTTTTGCTTGAGCTCAGGAGTTTAAGGCCACAGTGAGCCATGATTGTGCCACTGGACTCCAGCCTGGGGAACAGAGTAAGACCCTGTCTCACTCAAAAAAAAAAAAAAGCTTGAAAATATCTGGTAGCAATTTTGAAAACTTTTCAATTTCTGGTATTTCTGAAAACTCTGAATGAGTTAATCTCCTGGGAGGCCTAGAGAAAGGGTTTATGCACACAGCCCAGGGACCACCAACATCCATAACTGAGCAGGCTTCTTAATTTAAGCTTTTGATGTGAAAACTTATCCGATAGATTTATTTAATTCAAATTAGTTAAATTCTGGTGATCCCTGATTTATATGTTTACTTACCCCTCCAGAAAGACAGTCAAGCACGACTTTCCCCTTTCAGACGATGTTTTTTCCAAGTAGGAGAAGTCTGCTTATCTATGTGTTCTATGGTCCTACTTTTTTGTTTTTTTCTTGGAAACAGGATCTTGTTCTGACACCCAGTCTGGAGTGCAGGTGCGATCATAGCTTACTGCAGCCTCAAACTCCTGGGCTCAGGCTATCCTCCTGCCCAGCCAGTGGCTGGGACTATAGGCATACACAACCATGCCAAGTTAATTTTTTTTTTTTTTTTTTTTTTTTTTTTTTTTTTTTTGTAGAGTCACAGTCTTGCTATGTTGCCAAGGCTGCTACTTTTTTTTTTTTAAATACATTTTTCTAGTTTGTTGTATATGAAAGAATCCTAGGCTTATGGTTTTACTTCTGAGGTTTGCTTGAAGGAGAAGCTTCAGAAAGGTTGTAAAGGTCTCTCATTGGCTAAACACACTGAAGCCTTGTATCTCTACCCTTGGACCCTATGAAAAAGGTGAAAGATGGCGTAAAGGTAGTTCACTCCAGTTAACCACCTTTCCCTCCCCGGCTCTATGTTCTCCAGGCACGTCAAGTGATGGAAAGAGAGTTCAATAACCTCTTGGCTTTGGGCACAGACCGGAAGCTGGATGACGTGAGTATCTGGCCATGAATTAGGGGCTTTGGGGATTTGGTCCTCTTAGTTAGATTGAAGTTCCTGAGTTCTGCCTTCCCTTGGCTAGTTATTGGAAGGCTAATCTAAGGGAGGAGAGCCAGAGGGGATGGGGATAATGTCAGGGTGTTGAGGAGGTGGGCCAGCCCTAGAAGGACTTGTCTTGGGTAGCAATAGGCTGTGGCGAAGTCTCTGTGAAAATCTTATGCAAAAGCTGAAGGCCCCATGCGTACTTCCAGCATCTTTCAATTTGGTGCCCCGCCTTCCTATCCGCATAGGATCAAAGATTTTCCCCAAAGGCCGTATCTTTGGGAGCACACCTTTTTCTTGATCTCTCAGACCATGTCTCTTCAGTGCTGAGCCCAGCATACCTCCAGCCTGCTCAGTAAGACTCCAGCCCATCCTCCAGGAGCATGGGTGTGTGGAGGTGGATGCCCCGCGGAGACCGTTACATGACAGGTTTGCTCTCTCGCTCCCCAGCGCAGTCTGCACAGCTGAACATCGGCTCAGGCTTTTACCATCCCAGCTTTCTCGAGTTTCACCCTTGGGGCTACCTTCACACCAAGTTAAAGTTTTCCTCTCTCCGCCCTCCTGGTTGCTGAAGGAACAGTCCCTTGCTCTTGATTTCATCAGGCCTTCCCCTTGAGCTGAGGGGAGACCCTGGCATTTGGAGTCCTACGGTCCCCTTTGAGATGCTGACCTAAGCGCACCGGTTTCCTGAGATCATGGTCCCTCCTTGGCCCCTGCCTCCTCTTCCACCTTTCCTCCTCCTCCCTCCTCACTTTCCCATCACTGCCCTTGCCTGTCAGGGTTGCCATAGTTGATTTGGCTCCAAATAAGTTAAAAGCCCAGAGTGCGTTTATTTTTCACTGCTCTGTCTTCAGTCAGATCACTGATTCTTAATGGGGCTAAAACCCACCTTTGTAGAAGGATTGCTCTGCCTCAGGGAGACACAGGGCACTCTCAGGAATACACAGAATTTGTGGAAGTGTTTTCTTCACAGAGGTATCTTGAATTTTGGGAGGAAAAATAGATTTATATATGTATATTTTTTGGTCATTTGGATACTTGAAAAGAGATAAACTGTCAGCACCCCATCCCCGACCCAGAGCTGTCCCAACTCTGAGAGATCTCAGTTTTCCCAATAGCCCTGTGATATTGACCCTCCCACTAATTCTGCATGCATTTAGGATCGAAGCTTTCTTTGTTGCTCTGGAGAAATGACTCCCATATATCTATTAGTGTGGTGCTAATTTAGAAGCTATGTAGTCCTTCAGTCCTTACAAAAATATTCTTTGCCTGCCCTGTGCCAGGCATTGTGCCAGGCATTGTGCCAGGCGTGGTGGTTAGTGATGATGGTGTCTCACTTTATGGTAATGATCACCACACGAGACAGGTTATTATGCTCATCTTATGTACGGATGAGGAAATCGAAGCTCAAAGAGGGAACTTACTTGCTGTGGCAGAGCAGGACCGCAGCAGATATGTGTCTGATTCCTGAGCTCTTCCCCCTTGTTCCACTTCCTCTGGGAAGCTTGTGGAGCTATCTGGCCTATCAGGCCCCAGACATTGGGTGGTATTATTGATTAGACATTGGGGTGCACATAGAGCAGTGCAGCGGGGTTTTTGGGATGCAAGTAGGTTTGGGCTAAAGAGGTTGGTTTTTACCGGAAGCATAGAGTAGAAGCCAGGTCCTGGGAATAAGGTAAGATTTGGGGTTGGGGGCAGGGTCTGAGGTCCTAGGAGACTGCCTCCTGTCCAAATGTCTAGCACATCATCAGCGACCTTGAGCTGTCTCTTGCAACCAGACCCTCTGCCAGTTTTGGTTCTTAGTGTCCCTTCTCAAGCTTCAAGGCTCTTGAGGGTGGTATCCAGTTCTCCCTCTACGTGGAAATGAGGACTCAAGGGAAATAAGGAGGAGGAGAGTGGGAAGGAAGAATATCTCATTATTAGGGGACAGCGGAGGAGTGTAGAAACAGGTCTTAGGGTTGCCTGAAGGTGGAAATGGAGAAAAGGGGAAGGCGAGAGAGAGAAAAGAGGCTCTGGGCTAGGGTAAGAGCAAGATCATGGGGAGGACAGCAGTGACAAGGAACATTTCTGACAGACTCAGGAATGGGACGCCTGCATAAAGGGCCAGCTGCCGCCTGTTCATTTAATGAGTATTTATTGAATGCCTAAGGTGATCCCAGGCACTGCTCACAGGTTGGGGATACATTGGTTGGAACAAAAAAGATTATGGTTTCTGCCACATGGAGCATAGAATTTGAGAGAGAGAGAAAGAGTGAGAGAGAACGTGAAAGGCATGGAGGTAGGGAGAAAGGTAGGAGGTGGGAAAAGGGGAAGAGGAAAGATACAGTCATGCGTGGCTTAGCGACGCTTTGCCACGGGGATAAGTCCTGAGAAAGGCATCACTAGGCAATTTGATCACTGTGAACACCATAGAATGGACTTACACAAACCTAGGTGGTAGAGCCTATTGCACACCTAAGCTACATGGTATATAGCCTGTTGCTCCTAGGCTACAAATCTATACAGCTTGTTACTGTACTGAATACTGTTGGCATTTGTAAGTATTTGTATTTCTAAATAGAAAAGGCACAGTAAAAGTATTATAATCTTGTGGGACCACCATCGTATATGACATCCATCACTGACTGAAACATGTGCTGTGCGACTGTATTAATAAAATCATCTCATAAATACATATAAAAATGCTACTAGGAGGGGTGCTATGACAGAGAGGGATATGGTGCTGAGAATTTATCAGAGCATCTGGCCCACTCAGGGCACACACAACAAACCCTAGGGGGTCGGGGCTGGGAGGGGTTGTGGGGGCAAGAACAGGTGGGTGAACGTCCATTGTTCCTGCTAGTCCCACCCTGCCTGTGTCAGCTCTGAGAGCATGGGGTGGAGGGAGATGGGCATGACTTCCAAGCAGGGTGGATGGAGGCTCTGAAGTGTGGGGAGGGAAGGCCTGTGCAGAGGGGCCTGCTGTAAGGTTGTGGCCTTGGGAGCCCTGTGGCAGAGATGGTTATTTCGGAGACATGGCTGGCAGGCGTGAGGGGGCCAGATGGCAGGGGCTGCCTGCCATGTCCTTTGGAGGAGCGTGCATCTACTTGGTCATCTGCTTGACGCATCTCTGTCACCGAGTGATTTCATCTGATCCCATTAGTTATAGGCAGCCTGAGAAGCAGGGCAGATGTTATTATTCCCATTTTACTGATGATGAAACTGAGGCTTAGAGAGGTAACTCATCTGGTCCAGGGCCACATAGCCAGTAAAATGGCAGAGTCAGGATTAGAAGCCAGGTGTCTGCCTCCTGACAGTGCTCTTCCAGCATACTGGGTTACAACCATTCAGAGGCCCCAGAAGGACAGGACAGTGTGTATAGGGACTGGCTGTCGCTTCCCATGGGCTGAGGCTGAGGAGAGCCTTGAAAGGTCAGTGTCATGCCAAGCCCACTTTGAAAAGATTGCATTGGGCTGGGAAACAGTTCAACTGCAGGATGGCAGACCCAACCACATTCTCCCCACACACTCCCTTCATCCGCCAGCCAGAGACAGGGACGTTCAGAGTCGCAGGGTTTCTCCATTCACTGTACAGATGGAAAAACTCAGGCCTAGAAAGCGGAGGTGACCCCGCTCCCGTCTTTCCAAAGGGGTAGGATTGGTGCTTCTAGAACCTGCCGCGACTGGCCCCCTCCAGGCCGTGAGGATGGCAATGCCAACAGGGCCTTCGGGCCTTTGGTGTCCCCACCGTGCAGGGGGATGACAAGGTGTTCCGCCGCGCGCCCTCCTGGAGGAAGCGCTTCCGGCCGCGGGAGCACCACGGCGGCGGCATGCTCAGCGCCTCGGCAGAGACCCTCCCGGCGGGCTTCCGCGTGTCCACCCTGGGGCCCCTGCAGCCCCCACCGGCCCCGCCAAAGAAGATCATGCCTGAAGGTGAGTGACAGGCGGGCTGGGCATGGCTGAGGCCCAGCCGAGCCCGGGCTCCTTCCTGGCACCGTGGGGCCGGACCGGGCGGAGAGGGACGAGGCCGAGGCTGGCGCCCTGCGCGCTCCCGGGCTGCCGCTGCACTAACGCCGCGGGGAGCGTGTGCGCGCACTAACCCGCTGCTCCGTGTGTTCTCCTGCGGCTGCTGACTCCTCCCAGCCGGGACGGCGGGGGCGCAGAGACTGGAGACCTCCACGGTTCGGACCTACTCCTGCTGACCCCCCACCCTCCCGCCCTGGGTCTGACGGGGGTGTGCCCGTGGCTCGGGGTAAGTGGGCCAGGCCTGGGGATTCGGGCACCTTGCTGCTGGCCCTTGGCCCCACGCACCTACCTCTGGCTGCCGGCCTGGCCCTGCTGCTCCAGCCCCGCTCGCCAGCCTGCCCGGCTTGCCCCTTCCTGCTTCATCTGGCCCAGGCGCTTTGCGCTTGGAGCACGCTGTCGCTGCCGCTGCTGCACACCCTGCAACCCGCCTCACAGATGCCCTGCAACCTGCCTCAGTGCGATGCTTGTCTCTCTCTCTCTCTCCCTCAGCTCACTCCCACTATCTCTACGGACACATGCTCTCCGCCTTCCGGGACTAGCCGCAGCCCCCAGGGCGGGCTTCCTCCTCCTGGGTTTCACAGGCTGCAGACCCCTCCTGCTCGTTCCCCTTCCTTCCACGGCTCCCAGTCTCATCCGTGACTTTCCGGTTGCCCTGGATCTCAGAATATACTCGTCCACCTCCTCTGCACCCCACAACCCCCAGTCCCACCATGTGTCCTTTGTAAGTGTGGTGGATGTGGCTGGGGTCTCCTGGTATCGTGGAGGCACCCAGGTTGTCCACGCTCGGTATTCTGGGGGAAGGAAAGAAGGGCAGTCCAGGGTGGATGTGAAGCCACCCTTCCTCTTCTGGAGCCAGTCTGGTCTGCACTGCAACCTCCACCAGGACCAGGATCCTGGGCCACAGGATGGGATGGTGCTTCCAAGAAAGGGTCATTTCACAGGCTGCCCTGCTTGGGCTATTCAACCTTAGGGTCTCTGTCCACGTCTGGCTGTGCCAAACAGTCTGGCAGCTGGTTTTGGAACCCCCAGCATCACTACTCTCCCAACCTATCACCATGACTTCAGTTCCTGTCCCCATTCTTTTGGGGACAGGGAGGGCCTGGGAGGGGCTACAGGAGGACCCCATTCTCCCTAAGGATGGTGAGGCTGGGAGGAGGAAGGCTGAGGTAGAGATTCCAGGCCCTGGCATAAGCTGAATCCCAAATGTGGGTTTGGGAAGAACCGGAGAGAAATGGATCCCTGAACTCTGGGCCAAGGGTGAGGAAGGGGAAATTCTAAGCCCCTGCCCTATAAGAGGTAGGCAGACCAGGCAGAGGGAGAGCCAATGGCCTCTGGTAGCCTTAAGCCCAAAGGGCAGTGGGAATGTCCCCTGCCCCAACCGTCGGGTGGAGCTCCTGCTGGGCTGTGGGGAGGGGAGGTTGTGTGGATCTTGGCTCTGGGGCAGAACGGATCTGACCGTGCATTGCTGACTCTGTTTCCAGTATCCTCTCCCCTCTTCTCCCCTCTGCCTCACTTCTTTAGTAACCCCAGCCCTATAAAAATGAACCTGAGGGGTGGATTGAATATACATTGACCCTAAAGTCAAGTATGGGGAAAAGGCAGACTGAGGCATCCTTTCTCTGACATCCCAGGAAGAAAATAGCTTCTCCTGCAGTGATTCATGTCCAAGGTCCAGGAGATCCAGTGTTGGTGAAGGCAGCCATTCTCCTGCTTATCCCCAAGATCACCCACCCAGCCCTAACCCAGGCTCTTTTGGTGTGCAGGGACTGCCTCCTCCCAGAATTCCTAAGATCCACCCAGCTTCCACCATGTTCATTGCTTTCCCCAGCAGCATGGTGAGAACTGGGGCTGAGAGATACAGGTCCTGATTTGGTAGGAATATTATTCCCAAGAAATTCCCCCTCCTCACCTACTCCCTCATCCTGCCAAGGTGCCTGAATACGTTCAAGACTTATGTTCAGGATGGGATGATGGACCCTAGGGCTTCATCAAAGTGAGAAGAAAGGAAAAGCATCTGGCACGTGTTTCTTGGAGAGGGGCCAGGGCAGTGCCATCCTACAGGTGGCTGGAGCAGCTGCTTTGCAACCCGATCACCTTGAGTTCTGAGCAGGGATAGGCTTGCAGGTGAGATAATGGGCCAGGGCACCCAGTCCAGAAGGAGCAGTGGCACCTGGGCAGTCCCAGGGCTTAGAGCTTGCTGCCCCTTTTCGGTAGAGGAGAGGCTCATCAGTGGTGTGGCGGGGTGGGCTCTCCCCTAGGCTTGGGCAAGGCAGCCACCTGCCCTTGCTCTCCCTTATTGTTCCCCGGCCTCCCTGCCATCAAGTTCTGGGAGTGGAGATGGAGGGATTATTGAGCAGAAAATGAGTTGAATGGAGATAAGGAGCTCCCATCCCTGGGTATTGGATGTTAAGATGATAGAGATTCCTAAGATTGGTGGAGGTGGGCACTGCACAGCCATCTGACTCCATCAGGGTGCTCTTGATGGGCTGGCTGTATGGGACACTCAGTCCCAGCCTCTCCCCTCTACAAATCCTGCCACTTTTGGCCATGTTGTAATGCAGCAGCTGTGCCAGGGAAGCTGGGTCCATTCAGGGCACCTTGAGAATTATTACAGGGAGGTGATGAGAAGCGAAATCTGTGCCAACAGTGATGGAAGGCTGTTGTCTTGGTGTGTCCCTTGCCTCATAGTCAATATATTTTTTTCTTTGGAGAGTCACCAGTGACCCGAGCCCTCCACACCAGCCTCCTGTATCTCATCAGGTCCCTTCTCAGTACTGTATTGGCTCAGTGCATCAGGAATGGGTGTATGGGTGTGTGTGGGTGTGAGTGTGAGTGTGTATATACCAATAAACAACCTGGTTTTAAGATAATGTATAAATGGCCTCCAGTCTTTTTTTTTTTTAACTTTGAAGCTCACCTGAGATTTCCAGCTTCTTTCATAGTCATAAAGGCTGCTGTACTCTGGAGAGGAAATATCACAGTTTTGAGAACTTATAGTCAATAACTATCTGCTTACTTTACGTAAGCACAGCATTGACAGATTAATGTTTGGGTTGCATATGCCCAGTGGGTAGAGGACCAGATACGGAGAGAGGAGCCCGACGTCTTCCTCCATCTTGCTCATCTGGCCAGGCTGTCACTCTTTCCCGCTGCTCCTGGAGTTCCTTCTCCTGAATGCCACCTGCTCACATCACTCTACTGTTCCTACTTTCAGCAGCTCCCAGCACCTCTAGATCAGAGTCGCAGCTCCTCCTCACTGTGGCCTAAGAAGCCATTCATGACTTGCCTCCTCAGCCTTTTCTCCTCCCACCAGGCTCCAGTCTTCCCAGCTCAGAAACATGGTGTCCGCCCAACTCAGAAACATGGTGTCCGCCCAACTCAGAAACATAGTGTCCGCCCAACTCAGAAACATGGTGTCCGCCCAGCTCAGAAACATGGTGTCCGCCCAGCCCCATCACCAGAAGGCAGCACAGTTGCTTCTGTCCTTACCTTTGCAGTTTTGAGCCTTCAAGACCACTTCAAGCATCACTGGGGAGGCATCACCTCCCCTCCCCAGCAGAGCTAGATAATCAGCAATGCTTTGCTCTTCCAACACTGCACACTGCGCAGGCTGGGCAGCGATTGCGTCCCATGCTGGGCTGCGAGTTCCGTCCTTTAGGGCGGTCTTGTTGATCTCTGCATATCCTCGAATGAATCAATGCACCAGCCTTCTCTCAGAGGGTTGTATAAGGATTAATATTAGTAAAAGCTAAAAATCACTGAGTACTATTGTTTGCCAGATGCTGTTCTAAGCACAGTAAATAGATTAACCCATTAATCCTCACAACTCTGATATATTCTCAGCATTTTATAGAACAGGACATTTTAAGGCTGAGATGATACAGCTGGTAAGAGACAGATGTGGGTTCAAACCTAGGTCTTCCTGACTCCAGTGCCTTGTCCTTAACTATAATATGTACGTTAAAAGTCCTGACCCAGTGCCAGGAGTGTTTATCTTTTATTTATTTTTCATTCAGAGTAGCATGAGGAAAGGAATGCTTATCAAATGTTGCTTGCTTCTTTTTTAAGTCAACTTAAGCCCCTGTGCCTCAGCAAGCCTTTCCCAGATACCCAGCCCCCTTTCCCTGACTCCTTGGTGTGTACAACTCATGTGGTCTTTGGCCACATGAATCTTCACGGGGCTGTATGAATCTTCACGGGGCTGTATTTCTTCTGCTTCCTGGACTGGTGAACCCCCTTCATGCAGCACAGTGCACCAGGCATCCTTGTGTCCTCTTTAAGGCTGATGGGGCCCCAAACACTGATGGAGCAAGGATGGCAGCATCCATGGGCACAGGTGAGGGGAGGGAGTGGGACAAGGCACCCTGGACACAGCCCAGTGAGGGCAAACAGGTGAGGGAAGGTTCTGGCCTCTGGGGGTCCCTTGCTACTCTCTTCAGGATCAAAGGTAAAATTGATGAGCTGGCTGGCTGGCTCTGGGAATGAGTTCTTCACTGGAGGGAACTAGGAATAACTATGGCTTCCCTGTGCTGCCTCCCACTGGGGCAGGGGATATAGACGGGTGGACTTATGTGGAAATAGGAGTTTGATTTTGATTTTGGACATGCTGGGCTTGAGGTGAGAACTGGACATCATGGTTCCGTCCGCATTTGTAGCGAAGAAGAAGCTAGGTCTCTTTCCTGGAACGGTTTCCTTTCCTCCCTCTAGGAATGCTCCAGGCAGTGAGGGACAGGGAACCCAGACCCGAAGGGGGACCTGTGGCTGAGGGGATGAGGCGCAGCTAGAACTGTGGAGGGGCTGTGATTGGAGTTCCCACTCAAGCCTCGGTTGAACTTCCTTAGGCAAGGTCCCAGTTCAGCCTGAAGTCTTCCAGTCTCACCTTCAGGCTATTCTGTCCCCGCCTGGGGTCCAGAAGCCCCGGGGAAGCCTATGGAACTTGTTGGGATGGCGTTTTGCCCAGGAAGCAGATACCTGAGCTGAGGGGTATCCTTTCCTCTCACCCTCCGCCGCTTCCCTCTCCAGCTGATCCACCCCGTCTACACCTGCAGCACTTAAGAAGGTTTCCCAGTCTACCAAATCAATTACTCTGAGAGGTTAGATACCTAAGAATGCTCATCAGGGTGCCACAAGTAGTACTGTAAGCATTCTTCAATTCACACCAATTATCTAAGCGCTCCAAGAAGTTCCTATTTCCACACCAACAATTAGTATGCCAATTTTAAGTAATATTTATCTTTTCATTCTAGTGGATTCCCTAAAGTCCATTATTAGGCACCATTTGATTAACCCAGTTTGATTTATTGTAGGTGCTTCCAACTATAGAACAAATTTGAGCTAATCTCCCAAAAGAACTCTAACTCATTATTCATTAATTGGAGTCTTCTCTGTAATTCTGTTGTGAGGATTAAGCATTTGCTAATTTACGGAAGTCCCCGTGCTTTGATAACAATTGTTTATTCTGTGAAAATAATGAGGCTGGGCTCCTGCTTTGCAGAGTTTGCCATTCGAACCTGTGGAATTCTAGCGAATTATTTTCCCTTAAGGACTTAAAGACGTGAGAAAGTAATTAGACAGTGTCCACGTGCCACAACGGTAGGGATCCACTGCATCCAGTATCACTGCTGAGGACTGTTCATTCTTCATGAACGCGAACCTCACTGTCGAATTGTCAAGATAACTGAAGAGGAGTTGATTTAAAAAAATATTTCCAGCAACCCCAGAGCCTGTCCTTCAGCAGAGCGGAGTGCCTTCCTTGGCCAGTCAGAAGGAGGGCAAGGGATGGGCAGGTCACAGCTGCACGTGACAGGGTTGTTTCCACCCTACGAGCGTGGGAGGTGCCGGGGGCAGAGGAAATGAACCTGAGGGGAGGAGATCCTCCATGAATGTGTCCTGAGTATTTTTGGAGGGTAATAAAACAGTGAATAGATTCCAGAGTCAAGGAATTGCAGCCAGCCCAGTTGCCCTCCTTATTCCCAAGGGCAGTGAATCAGGGCTAAGAGTCATGGAAATGACCTTGGTCTTCCTCTCCAGCTCTTCCGAGGGGAAAGACTAAACTCAGTGACACCAGTTTGAAAAGAAGAAAATCCCACCAATGGGAGTAGAGTAGGCCAATTTTCAATTCCCAATAAGCCCTGCCTGACTGGTTTGGGGTAGGCAGGCAGTGGGGGAGGCCCTTCCGCACCCTCACCTGAGTTCTGTGAGCCTCCAGAGGTTCCTTCTGATTCTTTTCCTTAGGCAGAGTTTCTGGAGAACCTCGAGGGACACAGTGTTAACTCTCCTCTCCAGCAGTAAGGTCAGGAGGGTGGGTGTGGGAGAGATGGCCCAGCTGAGTCCAGAGCAAGAGCAGGGTAGTGGCTAGAGCCTCTGGCAACACTGGGTTAAGACCATTGTCAAGGGCCCCAAAGAATTAAGTAGGGCTGGAGTATACCATGCTCTGAATCCCTGCTTCTGTAATGATTCTGATACTTATAATTTGCAACGAACCAGATTAACTTAGCCCCAAGCAGTTGGAATTAATAAAGTTTCCAGTAGATGTTCACGTTCCATTTGAATTCTAGCTCCTGTGAACTCCCCAGTTAATCCCTATGTAATGTCTCTCCAAAAATCTTTGTTCTCAATTTCCCATCCACCTTCTACACTCAGGAAGCTAATCTTTGCCAAATAGCAACCCAAATGAAGAGGACCCCAGCTTCTCTTCGATTGTTCTTTGTGGACCCCTTTACCCTCCCTGAGCCGAATCTCCTTCATGCTGGGCGCTGTAAGCAGGAACCAGAATCCCCTTCTGCCTGGAGGGAATGGAGGAGAGTGGGGAGGGGACATGCTATTTGGCCCACAAGGAAATTACAGCGTCTGACCTCACTCCCTTGCTCACCTCCTACTCCTCTACAGGGCTCCTGGTATTGTGACGCCAGGGCACAGGTGGGGACTAGGGAAGGGAAACCACAAATTCTACCTCTGCACCCTGGCTGTGGGCTGAGCACTGGGCATATTAGGTGCTCAGTTAACTGAAACCAGAGGACATTTTGGGATATGACACAGAGCACAGCAACCTGTGAGCAATGGCTGTGAGGTATAGTGCAATGGAGTGCCCACCCAGTTGTCCTCCGTGTCCACAAGGATGTCTGTGGAATCTGATCTCCCCCTAGACCGAGGTCCAGACATGCCTGACTTCCTTTGGCATGGTAAAAAGATCAGGGGCCCCAGGGCCTAGTGACCACCAGCAAGGCGAGGCCCTCAGCGCTGGGGAGCCCTGCCCACTAGGTTGTGTCTGGACTGCTCAGTGGGAAGGGGGATGTCAGTCATGGCCCTCCCTGCTCTGTGGGAGGGGCAGGGCTGGCAGTCATTTCCCTCCCTCTGCATCAGCACCGACACTCTTCTGGCAACCAGTCTTTATTCGTTTTTTAAAAAAGGAAATCCAAATAAGTTAGCAAAAAAAAAAAAAAAAAAAATACAAAACAATGGCAAAACCACACGATGCTTAGTTAACAAAAGAAATCACCCCAAGAGCCCCCAACCCCCTTTCCCTGCCTGTCCCCAGCAACTTCAGCACAGGAGACCTTGGTCAGATGGCAGCTTTACAAACAACACACAAAACAAAACAAAACAGGACATAAAACCACTGGAAGGTTCCCAATATTCACTGCAAAAGCTTGGCCCCCCCAGGGACTTGGGAACAGAGGATTGTTCCTCTCCCTTTCTTCTCTCTCAATTCAGGGCAGGCCCAGCCCAGCCACTGGCATCGGGAAGAGACCAGAACAGGAGACGTGCACAGCTTGTCCAGGTCAGGACACTGCCTTTGTCTCTCAAACGGTTTCATTTGGGGGCTGGAATTAGAGGCTGCGTTATGATAAAAAGGAAGCTCCTGAGTTTGCCCCCTGAGCTGAGGCATACACGAGGGGGTGCTCTGGTCCCCTGCTTTACCTCCCTGGAAAGGGGATGCCCTCTCCTCCAAGGAGGCAGCTGAATGAGGGCATCCATTCCCTTGCTGGGGGGTGGGTTAACCTTACATGGATGAGGAAGGGGATAGTCTGGCCTACGGCACCCCAGAACTGGCTTCCTAGCATCAGGGTGCCCTGGCTTAGGAGGCCCCTGCTGTAGAAGCAGTGGCATCTGTGGCCAGCTTGGGGGGCTCACAAGGATGCCCTGGTCTGGCAGACAGTCTCAGTTGGGCATGGTTTCATCTGGGAAGGCCACAGACACATCTTCCACTGTGATGCTGTCCACGATGGAGGTGAGGGAGTGCAGGTTGTGGGCATCTGTAGGGTCAGCCGTGAGCAGATGATCTGTAAGGGGAGGTGGGAGGGTGGTAACTGAATGAGGAGTGGGGGTTCTTGAGGCCCAGAATGGGGGAATGGGGGATGGGACACTTGGGGTGACACAAGTTTTTCAGGACAGATGGGTGACAAAGCTCGGGAGTTCTACTCCCTAGTCCCCGCCTTTCCCCACGCTGTGTGTGTGTGTGTGTGTGTGTGTGTGTGTGTGTGTGTGTATGTGTGTGTGTGTGTGTGCGCGCGCACTCCTGAAATCCCCTAGTGAGGTAGGATTTGGAAGCAGCCACTCCAGTTGGAGCAGGATGGAGCTCCTCAGAGACTGGACCTGCCCTTTGCTGGGCCCAGTTTTGTAGCACTGACTCAGCACTTCGCAGGGACCCCTGGGGCGGGGACATTGTCCTCTCTGTGGAGAAGGTCAGCCACCAGGCGCCAGCTGGGGAGCTGCAGGAGCCACCATCACTCCTTTGCTGGTCAAGACTACAGGGGCACACAGAACCTCCCAGCCCACCCTTTAGGGCCCTGGAGTCCGTAGGTCTCTGCAGAGACCCAAGGAAGAGGACCAGAGCAAGGAATAAGGTAAGAGGGGCGAACCTGGCCCAGGGAGGGACTGAGGGATTGGAGCCAAGTTTGCCCTCACTTACCCCCAGGGTTGGTGCCGAACTCCAGTGCGCTGCCCCACTCTGGACTGCAGGAGGCGCTGTGAGAGCTGCATTCACTGGGCACCTGCAAGACAGGGCGAAGGCCCAAGGTCGGGGCACAGCCATTCTTTGATGTGTCTCTCTGCCTAGTCCCGGTGGGCAGGAGCACCTGTGGTGGGGTCAGAAGGTGGGCCACAGGCTGTGGCCTTCCAGTGTAGGCCATCCCCAACCCTGGAATCCTTGCAGCCAGCTAGCTCCTCCACTCCCCAAAGGCCCTGCTTCCAGGCCTTCCTGGCCTCCACCCTGGGTGGTGGTTCTGCCCTCAGAGGACACCAGCTTAAAGGGGTCCCTGGTTCTCCTCACCCCGGGGATAAGCGTGATGGGAACAGACTGGCCCACTGAGAGTCACTCTGCACAGGCCTGCTGGAGTTCGGTGAGACTGAGTGGGTTTTCTCTCTGCTCAGCCACACCCAGGATGGGGCTGGGACCGGGGGCAAGGCAGTCTTCGCTGGCGAACTTGGCCTGGCCTTTTAGGCTCTGACTCAGGCGCTGGGGTTAATCCTCGCCCTCACCCGGGCTGGCTGTGGCCTTGCTGCCGGTCCTTCCTTTAGTCCTGTGCCCCCCACTCCCAGCCCTTCTGTACTTCCTCCCCACGGCCTTCATCTCGTTGGGAAAGCACACAGGACACAGGAGGTCAGCTGGGCAGCCCAGCTCTGATCGGGGAAGGGCTCCTGCAGCCCCCAGTCCTGTCCGGCACCTGCTTCAACCCTCTGAGCCCCCGTCGGGGTCTTGAGGCTGTCCAGGTGCCTCCCTCTGGCCCCCTCCCCCTGGGGCAGGAGGGTGAGATGGCCACTTACCCCCGGTTGGGGCCCGCCCCCGCGCCGGTAGCGGAGGTCTCGCTCCTCCTGGTTGAGGGAGCTGAGCAGCGCCTGCAGGCGCTCGATGTACTGGATGGCGCTGCGCAGGATCTCCACCTTGGGCAGCCGCTGGTTGGGGTTGAGCAGGGTGCTCCTCTTCAGGGCCTCGAAGGCCTCGTTCACCTTCTTGAGCCTGCGCTTCTCCCTCAGCGTGGCCGCCCGCCGCCGGTCCACGGACACCGACTTCCTCTTACACACCTTACATGCCCACGGCAGGCACTGGCCGGGGCAGTGTTCGGGGGTCCCCAGCCCCTTGTCCTCGAGAGGCCCTCGGGCCTCGGGGCTCAGGCTGAGCTCTGTCCGCTCGTAGCCTGGTGGCTCGAAGCCCTGGAGGTGGCCAGGCAGGTAGTTTTCCCCGTCATAGAAGCGGGGTTCCTGGTAGAAATAGGGGGATGTCTCATACAGCTCCATGGGGTCGGAAAAGGCTTGTTCCTGCCACCAGCCCCCAAGCTCCTGCAGCCCCTCACGCCAACTGCTGGGTGCCATTTAAACCCTCCCCGCTGGCATGGAACCAGAGATAAATATAGCCAACGCCACAGAAACCTGAGCCCCCTCTAAGCTGTTGCTGCACATCAAGACGTTTACAGTGGATTACATGTGATTCCCCTTCCCTCTCCCCACGGCCCCCACCCCACCCAGCCAGCCTGCCCCTGGCCCAGGCGGGCTCCTGTGCACGGGTTGGGAGGCCGTCGGGTGTAATTTGATTAGTTTTCATTTCTCAGCAGCCCCGGTGGGGCAAGGGGCGCTGGAGGAGGACACATTCCCCTCTCATCTGCTCCTTTCAATTACTCCTAGCTGGGCGGCCTGCCCGCTGTCTCCTTGCTAGTCTCAAAGAAGCTGGTGGGTATAGGGGGAGGAGGGAACAAGGAAAGGTAGGCTTAGGCTGGAAGGGACCCTAAGAGTCAACTTACTCATCTCCCTGCTTCCTGACAGCACCTTCATTACACTACATCCGTCGGATGAGACTCTTTTAAAGACCTCCCCTCGAAAAGAATGGGACTGCTTCAGATTCTGGGTATCCACGGGCACTCAGTATCCAGGGATAAGAAGGATCGCGACTCAGAGTAGCTAATGAATTCCACTTTCGGGGTTCCCAAGCGGCTTTGACCTGTATGTTCTCTTAGGTCTCATGTGATGGCAGGGGGTAAATTGAGGCAAGAGAAATTATTTGGGTTTTGGTTTTCTTGCCAGGGGTCAAGAGAAATCTTCTCTTTAATACAGCAGCCGTGGTCAGAACAGGGATTAGAATTTACAGCCTACACGTTGCCACCTTCCCCGGAGCGTCAAGGTCAAGATTACTAAGCTCCCTGTCTCCTCCCTGTCTCACTCTGGACCATTGATCTGTCCTTCTGTGTTACCTCCTCAACTCTTTTTCCAGCACCAGAATTTTCCTGACTCATTACTGTGGATGGGGGTGGGAAAGGAGAAAAAACAGAGCCCTTCTAACTCAGTTTAAATCTCCTCTCTCCTCGACCACCGGGCTTGGTTGTTCTGCCTCTTCCTGTCCAAGGCATCCATTTTACAAGTAACATGCAGGTCTCAAATGTCAGGTGGAGCAGGGACTATTTAATCTTCAGGCCTCTCAGGCCATGATCACTTCTCAGTAGGTGCCTCAGGGTCTGAGAAGACAAATTCCTTCCAATGCAGTGGGCAGACTTCAGACAACAGCATGAACAGGGCTCAGTCTTAGGGCTGGGAATTATAGGGACACCCCAGACAGGGTCCCTGCCCTCGACCTTACCATCTAGTAGACAACGGTGGTCACCTCTTTCTACCCAGCCCCTGATGCCCGAATCCCCTCCCAGGTGGCCACTGTCAGCTTCTCACTCATGTCAGGAGACAGCTCGTTCCATTGGTGTGCAACTTTGAGCTGCAATCTGCTCCCTGTGTCTTTTACCCTTTGTTCCCAGTTTTTTTCCCCCTAGGACCCCATAATCTAAATCTGATCTGTCGTACTCCTCATCCGATGACAGGTCAAACTGATGAGTTCAAGCCAGTGGCAAGGACAATGGAGGGAGGACAAGACTTCACAGGGAAGGGGAGACCTGCATGGCATGTGACGAACCAGAGTTCCTTCTCGTCATTATTCCCAGCAAAGGAGCCAGGAGGATTCTGATGGGCTTTTGGGATAGGAAGCAGAGGGAAGGCGGGAACATGGCTGGGCAAGAAAAGAACCCTGAGCATGTTGAGGGGGAGCTGTGAGGTCTTAATTCTGTTCTTGGCCTTACCGGCATGATAGAAAGTAGCATGCATAGGCACTGTGGGTTCTAAACCTTGCTTTCCCCTGACCAGCTGGGCTGAAGAAGAGTCTCCATTTCCAACACATCCTCTGCCAAACAAAGAAAAAAGAAAAAAAAAAAAACATGCCTCGGTTTGCACTCCAATCCTGTGAGCCCTATGAAAAGAAGTCATGTTGAAGCTGCTATAGACACTCCCATAGTGCATCTCATTCTAGGATCCAGTGTGACTTACCTTGAAATAATGTGTCTTTTTCCTATAAGATGGAGGCAGAGCTGGTTTCCAGACCTTACTGTCTAGTTGGTGAGCATGGGCTGACATGTGAAACCTGGATTACAAGACAAGGGAGAGCAGTGTTCATTTCGCAGCGAACATGGGGGCTGTGAGCAATGGCAAACCAGTAGGTTCTGCAAAAGCGTTCTGGGAATTTTGGGGACAGCAAAACTGCTGCCGGCTGGGCCTCTGTGGAAGGCTTGGGGAGCGTGCTGGGCCAGGTCTTGGAGAACTGGCAGGATTTGGATGAGAAGAGGGAGCAGGGCAGGAGGACACTGGGCAGGCTGGTTTGTATGGAGCTCGGGGTTCAGGCAAGGGGGTGATTGGAGATGAACTCGCACAGCGGGGAGGGTGCCCAGCTGGGCAGGGAAGGACTTGAGAGCTGAGGCAAGTAGACCACAGAGAACAGCATGACAGTTGTCCAGGAGTGAGATGATGAAGGTCTGAACAGCTCGCTCAGAGGCAGGAGGATGGATTCGACTGGGAGAAGGCGCGTGTTTCCTGCTAGCAAAGGGTGGTGAGCGTGCACGAAGTAGGGGATGGTTGTATTCAATGACAGGGCACTTGGCACCTGCATACACCTGGCAAATGTTACTCCCTTTTCCTGCTTTGTGTTTTCTTCTACTTCTGAGTGCCCTGCAGGGGACCCTAGCAGCAGGAATGGAGGAGGCAGAACCTGGCTCCACCCCGGGTGTGTTTATTCATTCATTCACTTTTTTCCATCAAGTACCTTGTATTTAGCACCTTTGACTGAGCACCCACTCCATGTCGGTCCCCCATCTGGGACCTGACCCAGGGCAAGAGCAGTGACTAGACTCGGTGCTTGTCTGCAGAAACTCTGTCTGCATGCGTTTGGCCTTGTGTCTGGACATGTTTGCCTCTGACCAAACATGAGGGCAGAGCCGGGAGGTTAGGGTGACGGTGTGTGCCTGGTTTCCGTGAATCTGTCTGTGTGCGTATTTGTGTATGTCTGAGTAGAGTGGGGCGGGGACCATGTCAGGGTCCAGCTGCGGGGCACGGACCCTCCTAGGACTGAGCTGATAGAGTGACCCAGGTGTCTTTGACCTCTCCACACCATGACAGGGGGATTGGCCGTTTACCCATCTTGTTCTTCTCTTAGAGCCGAGCTGTGGAGACGCCTCATCTCGAGGCTTGGTCCTCCTCCCCCTGAACACCCTTCCACCCCCGCAAGCTGCCCTCTGATGGATGGGAACACATTGGTGCCAAGCACAGAACAGCCTTTGTGCTCCACCACCAGCGGCAATCCATCAGCTCCACCCTGACAGCAGGGCGTCCCCCTAATCCCCACCCCTTCTGGCTTGGGCACACAGGGCCCCCTGCCCTGATGGGAGCCTCCTCCTTTAGCAGTCCTGCGCCCTCCAGAGGAAGCCCTTATTCCCCTACTGGGGCTCCTCAGCCACACTGTTGGCTCCCCCACCCTGACTGTCTCAACTTGATTCTGTCTATTTGCATGCTGAGCTGATGTCATTTGCATGGCAGCGGATGGATTTCAAAATGCTCAGAAATCCCCTTCACCTGCTCCCTGCTCCTTACTACCCCTTCTGCTGCACGCCCAGTCACAGCTCTCTGGCCTTCCGCATCTTCCAGTTCCTGCTGACATTGCAGGTGGGCTGACCTGGGCTGCCCAGGTGCTCGGCTAAAATCAAAGCAAAATTTCCATTCTAGAATCTCATGTGCTTGGGAATAGAAAGCAAGAAGGAGTCTGGAAGGGTGGGGGCCTCTGGCTACTCCAAACAGGTGCCACCATGTATTTTCCTATGGGTCTGTGGGTACTATTGATGAGGATGAGGTAGGGGGTGGTAAATGCATGTGTATTTCAACAGGACATAGATGCATAAACATTACATGCAAATCGGCATTGATTATTTGTGGGGCAGTAGCTTTGCAGCAGGATGAGAACAGATCACAGAATCACAGAATGTCAGAGCTGCAAGGCAGTCCAGAATCCACTAGTCCACCTTCTTCCTCCACACATGGGGAAACGGAGGCCCAGAAAAAGGTAGTGATTTGCCCAAGGGTACAGAGGATGAGTGTCAGAAGTGTGAAGGGTGCCTGTTCTGAATCCCGGAGCCTCCTCTCCCCCGCTGAGGCTGGCAGGTGAGGAAGAGTACAGCAAGTGAGCAGGTCATTTCCCGGTGGGCCTGGGGCCACAGGTAGGCAGACAGTGAGGGGCTGGAGAGTTTGAATGGAGGGTTTAGAGAAACATCAGGAGAGGTACTGCTGGAGAGATGAAAAGAATATACAGGAGAGGTGTGAGAGAGAGTGTGGGCTGGCGGTGCCAGGCAGAGGCCTGGGGATTGAGACAGGGGAGATTTGGAGGCAGATGGGACCAGGATTGAGATGTGAGGAGGAAGGGAGGGTCCCCCTCCACCAGGCCTCTGCAGCCACACGTTGTTTCCATGGAGGACGGAGCATTGGATGACCACTGGGAAATCCCGTCCCTGCCCGGAATCTGAAGCTCAGAGCTAGGATCATTCTTCAAGAATTTCTGGCTTTAGGGTGTGGGAAGATGCAGACCCGGAGGTGGAAGGGGTTGGGTCCGAGGAGAGTGGGTGAGGGTCAAGGGGAGGTGATTGGTGGAGACGAAGCCGAGAGCTGGTTTTAAAAATAACCAGAACTGGGCTCAGCAGTGTGAACTGGGAACCTGGCTCTGGTGGGGCCTTTGGAAATATGGGCATGGATTTCTTACAAGTATCCTACGTTCCTATGGGAACAGGGCCTTCAGGTCTTCAGCTCCTGGTTAGGATAAGTACTATCAGGATGCGGAGGGGAAGTAGAAGAAGGAGCCCTGGATATGGAGTTAGGGCATGTTGCTGTCCTGTCTCCTCTCTGGTTCTCAGTTTCCCCACCCGTAAACCAAGATGCTGGACTGACTGGTTAGGATGCTGGGTTTTTTTTTTTTTTTTTTTTTTTTTTTTTTTTTTTTTCTGACTTAGCATGTGCATCTGGAGGAAGTGCCCATGGAGGACTGTTTTGAGTGTTGTCTGAACCAGGTTTCGCCCTGAAGAGTAGACTCAGAGGATCAGAGAGGGCAGGTTTCCTAGAGATATTTTATCCTTTTCCCATCTCCACTTCTGCTCCCATGTTTCACCTCCCCGAAAGGTAGCCAGATGGTTCTCTGGACCCATTTCTACCTACTTAGATCTGTTTGGCATATATTTATCGTAATTACCTCTGGATTTGCTCCTCCTGGCTGTCCCCTTCACTGCTACTCCCTTCTACCCCCCTCCCCCCCAAATCTGCCCTCTGGATTCAGAAGCCCTAGGATGCCACCACCCCCTCTGTTCCCTGGACTGCATCTATTTCTGCCTCTTTGACAAGTTGTGACATATTTGCAAGCAGCTGCTGCCTGGGTGGAGATGTCTTTGCTTTCCTCCCAGCTCTGTCTTCTCCTCCTCAATCTCTCTCCGGACAGCCACCCCTTCCCTGAATGTGCCCAATGACCCTCCCTGCATTCTCCTCTCTGGGACTCAGACATCCAACATTTCCTAGGTTTCTGCAGGTGTGGCCAAGGCTCTGCACTGATACAGAGGGAATCTTCTGGGGTAGAAGGTCGTGTGCCTGGGGGGCGGGGGGAGCCGCAGCTCTTCTGTAAAGTCCCAAGCTGTAGGGTTTGAGGCAATTCTCTTCCCACTGTGGGCTTCATTTTTTTTATCTTTAAAATGCAGTGATGAATAATGTCTTCCCTATCAATCGTAAGTAACTTTGCTGCCTGCTAACTGTAGAGTCTTGGGAAACCCTCCCAGTGCTATTGAGCCCATTACTCTTGTCTCCTCTGAGGACTTCATTCCACTGTTCCTGTCTGCTGGCCTTTCCTATGAGCCCATAAATATGGTGTAGTCTCTCCTATCAAAAAAACAAAAATCCTCATTTCCATGGAGCCTCCTCAGCTATGGCTCGAAAACTAACCTTTCCTTCTTCACCACGTTTCTAGAAAACGGAGGCTACACTTACCTTTCCACCTGTCACTTCCCATTTGCTTGTCTATGTATTGGCTTCTACTTTCCCTAAGCTACAAAAATGACTCCTCCCAAAATCAAAGAGACCCTCACCAGGTGCCATCCTGCCGATACTTCTCAGTTTTCATTTTACTTGATTGGTCTGTGTCATTTGACAATGTTGACCATGCTCCCCTTGAAACTCTCTGCTCACTTAGCTTCCATGACCCCGTCCTCTCCTGGTTTGTCTCTGACTTTTCTCACCATTTCTCCTCCTCTCTTTGCTGGCTCTCTCCTCTGCTCTTTGTTCTTTTCATGCATCTCACCCCTGCCCACCCTTTAAGAGGGATTTTTAATTTTTAGTCTGTTTTTCTACAGTCTCCCTTTGTAATCTCATTCTTTCACCTACTTTTAACTACCATGTGTATAAATGCTTGAATTTTATCTATTGAATTATGTGTTTATGTTATATGTTAATTACTCCCAAGTCTATTCTAACCTCTGCGTCTTCCCTGAGCTGGATCTCATGTCCAAGGTGCTAGTAGACTTCTCTACTTCCATGTCTTGCAGACTCCTAAAATTTAATTTATCTGCTATAGAAGCCACTCACTCACTCCCCATTCCAGTATCCCCCTCACTGGTGACAAATGCCACCACCCACCCAGTCATGGCTCTTCCTTTCTTATCCTTCCACATCTAATTGTTCTACAAGTCCAACAATCCCTGCTGTCTTCCTCATCTCAACAATTCCTAGACCAGGCATGGTGGTTCAGGTTTG